GAGTGAGCCATTATGTTTGCAACTCCGGTTATAGGTGTAGAAAACATGAGAAGTTAGTGTCTATGTTTGACTACCTATTGAATATAAATTATACCTGCGCCTCGGCTCAAATATCATTTTCATTTTTTTGCTTTAGTCTTTGCCAATCTTAGCTCCACTGTTACTTTCTGGGGGAGTGGGTGTTCTAGGTATATACTGCACACAGCACAAAATCCACTCACATCAATGCAATCTTCTATTGCCTTTGAAGAGATAAAAGTTCCAGGCTCACACTGCGCACTTGTCTATGAAACTCACATACCGATTCAAGTCACATTGATAATAAAGAGTCCTGTGGCATGTTAAAGACTCACAGATTTATTGTAGCATGAGCTTTCGGGGACTAGTGCCCACTTCATCAGATGCATGAGGTGTAGTAGTCAATAGGCAGGTGTAGAGACATAGACATTGATATACATTTAGAGAGAAGAATGTAAGCAGTGGAGTCAAATGGCAATGACAGGATAATTTCCCACTGTTCTCATGCATATGATGAACTGAATGCTAGTCCATGAATGATCATGCCCAGACACATTTGGAATTATAGGGGGAAGAGCCATAGCATAGTGGTAGAAGATCTGCATTGCAAGCAAAAAGTCACAGGTTCAATCCCGTGCATCTCCAGGAGGAACTGGGAGAGGGTCCTGCCAGAAATCCTGGATAGCTACTGCCAGTCACTACTGAGCTAGTTGGGTCAATGGTTTGACTTGGTATAAGGCAGCTTCCTATATTCCTGTGCCTGAGCACATTGGAAATTTTGAGGAAGTGCCATGGGTGGCAGTCACAAAACGGCTACTGTGTGAATGCAGCATAATGGTTACCATAACTAAAAGAGCAGAAAAAGAGAAAGGACCACAAAATGGGGATGTAGGTGTGTTCCCCATTAGCCACCCCATCAATGGGGGGGGGGGGGACACCAGCATCAGCTACCACTAGGCTTGCTTACAGAGAAAAGCTCTTTGCATCTCCCCATTGTGTAGCACAGACCGAAGGGAGAGTGTTGAATCCGGGCATCCAGTGAAATGTTGACATGTTTGATGTAGGAGAGGCTGAGTGCTAGTAGGAACTGATAGTGTCTGAAGAAAGTTTTCTGGTTTTATGGTTACTTTTAACGAATTATATAGTTCCTGTATCCTTCTAACCTTAATGTACACTGCTTAGAGACTACCGTAGTGTTAAGCGGTATATGATTTGTTGAAATAAATTAATAAGTAAAAGAGCAAAGAATCCCTCATGCATTGTGAATTTTAAAAGAGGATATTTGCGAAGACATTTCATGGGCATCATAGGAGGTACTGGCAGGCACACATGCTCACGGGCGCCCTGTTGGCAACCCTTCTTAGTCTTTAATGTGCCACAAGACTCTTTCCTCTTTCACCTTCATCAGACTAACACAGCTACCCTCCTGATACATAGGCTTTGACCATAATAGAGATCAGGGTGGATTATTTTGAAAAGATGAGTAATTGTTCCTGTGGTTAAAGTGAGGGGATTTGGAAGAGTTTTGATGCGCAAGGGTTAAGATCTGGCCTATTGGAAGACCTGTTACACATGTGTGTGACTGCTTGGGTTGTTCTGTTGTTTTTCTGTTAAAATATGCCACCACCACCACCACCCCAATTAGGGTAAAATGATTGCTAGGCGCAGGTCATTGTAAGCTTGCTCAATACAGTATGCAAGAAAAGAAGCAAATGCATGCAAATTAGCACTGGCAAATACTGACTCTGCTGTGGCTGGACCAACTTGAAAATGAAATTGCACTATAGAAGAGGGCACTGGGTACATCTCACACTGATGTTTCCAGTATTGGATTGCTTTGGAGATGCATGAAATATTACAATCTCCAGTGTATGATGTATTCAACCACTCACATATTGCCTGCCTGATCAATGTACTTGTGATGCAAAGAATCCCCACTCATGCCATACTTGAAACGTCAAAGCGTACATGCTTTTATCTACATGGAGATATATGTGGGGAATTAGAATACATAAAGCAGCCCTTACAGTTTCTGATGGTGTGTGTGACTTGAGCTGAAGAAGCACCCATTAACTTTGCTTTGCTGTTAGGGAAGTGGGGTTTTATAATTAACCCTCTTGCTTAAGCTCAATACCTGCTTTAGAGGGATCTGCAGCTGTATGGGTAATGATATGGCTGAGTAGCAAAGCTATGGATTTCACCTGCAAGGGGGTCTAAGGGGTCTTCTGTTTTATATCTTGGCCAATTTTTTGACTGATTTCTTTGTATTCTGCAGCCACAGCACTTTGTGGTTGTTTGCAGAATAGGCAGGGGTCTTGGCTGACACTGGAAAGGATTGTTAGGAGTTCATGGGTGCGAGATGCACCCTAAATTACTAGGTTCAGTAGGTGTTATATGTAATGAAGGCTTAGAATGCTAAACCTGTGCTAGACCAGTGTATTAGATGCTTCTAAATCCTCTGGAATTAACATGTGTTAAGGGCTAATTAAGATAGACTAAGCTTCCTTTGTTGAGGCAGTCACTAGAGGGATGGAGCATTAAGGACTACAATGGACCAAAGGAACTCACCATATTTTGAATGCAAGACTCTCTTGGGGTATGATGCTGAGAACCCCTTCATCGTAGGCTCAAGCTGCATATATATGTGTAAATAAACCATATATCATAAAGACACCACAGTATACAAGGTGCCTCATTTTTTCCTAAAGGAAATACAGACTCTGACACCCCCTGGAATCTCAGACTGCTGTGGAGTACTTGCCCCAAAACTGGATCTTGGCATCCAGGGAATTCTCCTTTTATGCCTATATATCTTTTCCTTTGCCACCAACAGTCTTAAGGGCCAGATAGAGGTCTAGAAGGCCACATGTCTTTCCACCCCTTGACATCTGGACCATGCTAAGGTGGTTCTAGTTGCCTGTACACACAGACACATCCAACCTAAGCCCTCACTGATCCTGTGATTATGCTACCCTGGTGAACTGGCTCCCACGTGCTACGGTCATACGGAAGGACTCTCCTCTTTCTTTCTTTTTTTATAATTTTTTATTAAGGTTTTAAACAAAAAAGAAAAACAACACACACACAAAAAAACAAAACAATACAAAACTTAACAATAAAAACACAAAACATAACAATTAAAAAACTCTCTTTTCCATTCCCAATTTTAAATTACTTATTTTCTGGACTTCCTCATACCTCCCTCTTTTGTATTCCAATCCACATTATTAGTTCAGCAGTTTCTTTTCCACTTTTTTAATCCCAATCTTTAATTTAATAAAATGTTAAAATATATAACTTCAACTTTTTTAGACCTAATCCTTGCTCTTAGTGTCATCGGAAGGACTCTCCTCAACGCGACTCATTTTTTAAAAAAACGCACACAAAAACCCGTAAGACCAACACGTGCGCTTACATCTGCAGCCAGACTAGAGAAATAAAGGGTAATTTCCTTTACAAGACCATAGTGTAATCTCCCTAGTAACAGCGCGCAGAGGGCTTGGCGCCCTCCTGATACCGCGAAGAACTCAGCAGCCCAGGAAGCGCCCAAAGTAGTCGAAGTCCAAGCAAGGGACGCTCAGCCATTGGGGGTCTCAGGTGCAACGTGCTCTAGGACCTAGCAGCCCTTCCTTAAGGGAGGGAGGGAGTTGGTCAAGCCAGAGCCAGAACTTGATGGGACTGGGACGGCTAGCGGAAGTGTGAATGAGCTTTGGAAGGGACCGGATGTTGCCACGACTCTGTCCTCGCTTGCCCGATGCCACCTCCAGCATCCGACACGGGATGCACCAGAGATGCACTGGTACAGCACCAGTTGCCGGGGAGCACAAACAGCGCTCGCTTGCCTGCTTGCGCTCCTGCCATGCTCGCATCTGCTTGGCCGCTGTGAGAACAGGATGCTGGAGAGGATCCGGCTCCTCTTGGGCTTTTGCTCGTCTCTCCCACCCCACCCCCACGTTTAGTTAGTGGTAGCTGGGGGCGTATCTGCTGTCCACATCTTCAACCAAAGTTGGAGGGCTTAAGAGAGGAGGCTCATCACTAGGCAGACAAGAGCTTATAGGTAAACGGAGGAGTCGCACGAGGCGTTGGTACGGCTCAGAACCACATCGGGTGAAGGAGGAAAAGCGGCGGGGTGTGTGTGCAAGAGCCTAAGAGAAAAGGGTGGCAGCACAGGGTGGTGTGGTGGGTGATATTTGGCAGAAGAGAGTGCAATGGAAAGGGGTGTTGCTGCCCGGATGAGAAGCGAATGCCACATTTCCCAAGGCTACAGCTCAGGTGTTCAGCCCGGTTCCCCCCGCCCCCCCCACAATATCTCCAAGTATCCCTAGGATGATCTCCTGCAGCTCCAGTCCGTTCATCCTTTGCTTCCCTAGGCAAAGCTGCCGCTGCCGCTCCTATCTTCACCGGAAAGGAACAGTATGGAGCGTGTCACACGGCAGTGTGTGTGTATATATATATACACACTCCTGTATATGCATCCTGCCTGCCAAGATCAGCTTCGGGGAGGCGGGCGAACTGGAGGTGGAGTGAGTGGGAGGTTTGGTGGGAGGGGGCGGAACATCTCCCTGCCCTCCGCTTGCCTCGGGGTCTCCCTGGGAGCCCATCTACGGGTGCGCGTCGTCGGGGCTGCTGGGCTCGATTCCAGCTCTTGCCACCCGGATCCGGCAAGCCCCGCTCCCTGGCGAAGGTTACCAGCTGTGCTCTTGAAAGAGACTGCACCCCCCTCCTCCCGCCTCGCCCTCCACACACCCCAGACCTCCGCCCCCCGCCCGCCCCCCAACATCCTCCCCGCCCGTCACAGTTTGGCTCCGTATTGATCGGCGCTGCCTGGCCGCGCTTCCCCTGCAATTCCAGGTAGTAAATCAGTGCCAGGCGGCCCAACCTCCCGGCGTCGCCATTGGGTGCCCGGCTCCGCTCGGGCCGCACTGATTGGCCGCCTGCCGGGCACAAGGCTTTACATAAAGAGGCGCTCGCGCTCCGCTGGACTTGCCCAAGCGCGAGAAGGGGCGGAGGAGCTCCACGCCGGGAGCCAGGGAGACGCGCCAGCAGCGGCAGCGGAGGCGCCAGCGAGCGGGCAGGCAGGCAGGCAGCACCAGCTGCGGACATTGGGGCAGCCCGCCCGGGATGCTCCGTGGCCAGCTGGGCGGCATGGCCCTGCCACGGGCCCCCGCCGCCGGCCCGGTGAGTAGAGCTGGCCGCGACCCGGCCGACGGGGCGAAGTTTCCCAAAGAGCCGGAGAAGAAAAGTTGGGCGCTTGCGAGTGAGCCGGAGAGGCGGGAAGGGCGCACAGGGCGCGCGCGCTTGCGCCCCGCTTCCCCGGACGCCAAGCGGCGCCAGCGAGCCGGGCGGGCGGAAATGGGGGCTGAGGGTGGGACTCGGAGGAGAGCCATGGGAGCCCGGGAAGCAGTGGAAGGGGTGGCCCAGAGAGGTGGGGTCTAACTAAGGGAAGAGGTTCTGGCTTTGAGGAGGACTAAAGTGGGGTGGGGGCACCCTTCCCGTTCAGGTCAGCTTCAGCTCTTGCCTGAGGAAGGACTTTGCCTCTCTGGTTGCCGCGCCCCCCGACAGCATCCCAAGGGTGCCAAGGTCTGCTGGCTGTTAAGGTGACTGCTTTTGTCTCCACACTGCACCGGCGGCAGCTGCTGGCTGTGCCCCAGCTTGGGGCAGGCAGGCCACCCTGCAGTGTGGCACAGGGGAAACAAGGGGGACAACTCTGAAGAACAACTCCCTAGGCACTAGGTGGGAGGCGGGGAGAGGTATCTCTGGCTGCTTCCCGAACACCCTGGGGGGGTGATCCCTGTCGCTTTTGCAGGGAAGGTCTCCTGCAGCATTAATGCAGGTTGTGGGCTGGTATTTAGTGGGCTCAAGGAAGACAGCAGTGCAGCCCAGGACAGGGACATTTTTCTTCTTGTTCTCAGCAGCGGTTCCAGAAAAATAGAATTTGAAGGAAAAGCAGCCCTGAAAGACTTGAGCAGGACCTGAACCCTAATGTGGTGATGATGCCACACATTAGTCTTGCTGGATTTGTTTGTGCTCAGATTGCTTGAACTAGTAGCACTTTGGAAGATAATATGGTGGCTTGGGCCAGTGGGGGGGTGGGGAGACAGAGGAGGTGTCTCGTGATGTTTCCAGGCTATTTTGATGCTACCACAATTGATTGGCTGTTCAGTTGTGATGTCACCAAGGAAAATGTGGGAATGCATTTGGATAATGACATTGTGAGCTAGTGATGTCACTAGTCCACAGTAGCGCAGGCAGTGTTATCTCACTGCGAGGTTGCTGGAGGGCCGTGCTTTATAACAGAGATGGCGGTGCCACGGGGGCTATGAAGTCATTTAGGATAAATAGCAGGAACTGTGTACGACGGCAGCTGCTTGCTGGTGCAGAGCAACAATACAATTAAATTTTTGCTTCTGTTGCATCCTCTCTCTGGATGTCCAGAATTCTCCAAAGAACCTGTCTTGGCCTTGTCGCCTTGGAGCGAATGGGACACAGCTCCCTCTCTCTCCATGATAGGAAATAAAGCAGTGCCTTCACTTGGGAATTATCAAATGCCCATGCTAGCATGTCATGCAGATCCCGCTGTCTGCCCCCAGCATGCAGAGGCCCTGCTGTGTCACTAGCAGGACCAGCTACCTTCCTGTAAGCCTCTAGTGCCATCTGCTCCTTGGGGCAGGGTCTACTGAGTTAAGTGTATCTCCGTCCATTTGGGTAAATGGGTGCAAATTGCAGTGTAATCAACCACACCCTGTAGGAGCATGCAAGACATGGAACTGCACAGCTGCTTCCATGGCCCGAGAGGTGCTTTCTCCTTTGCCTGGTGGAGAACCAGCACTGCCCATTTGAGAAACTTTTCACCTCCTTGGTGCCATATCACCACTTTAATGTCAGAGTGTTACAAGCACTGGAGTTGGGCAGGCAACACAGAATGCAGAGAAAGGGGATCTGCTTATAATCACAGCAAGCCGTCCAGGGCAAATTTACTGCAGTGCGGGCACTGAGTGGGCATTCTTGTACACATTGCATCCTTTACTCAAGAGCTGGCCCGTTTACTGGGACAGAAAATGGTGGTGTGCAGGGCACAAAGTCATGGAGAGGACTTCCATCAATGTCCACATTCGGAACAAGATGGCGACCAACTGCTTTTTTTTCCCTTCCCCAGCTGCCAAGGGCATCTCTAAAAGCAAATCTATACCATGGATCCCCCTAGCAGGCGACTGCCAAGATGCCTGACCCCAGTTCTGAGCCCAAGCTTGGTCCAAGGACAGACTGGACCGGGGCCTGAATGCATGCCTTCTTACCTAGTCTCTACTGTCTCCATTCTCAGAGCTGCCCATAAGAGACAAGGGAAGGGATTATTAAACAACCCAGCAATGAGCAGGCAAAGGCCCGGTTCTCCTTTGCTTGGTCACAGTTTCCTGCCTTGTTCAGAGTGAAGACCATCTCCTGGTCTTTGGGAGGGTCCCTTTTTCCTGCCCAGGTGCCTGATACTCATGTAGTATTCTGCTGCCTTTCCCTGCACCATCCGACATTTAATGCCATGGGCACATTGCACTTGGTGGGGCTGGACTCTTGCTGCATCCAAAACAAGAGACTAGCATCCTGAGAATAGAAGCAGCCATCAGCCGCTCTGGGACTAGATCATTCATTTTTGTCTCCCGCCGCCAATTCAGTTCCCTTTTGGATGCTCTCCAGGCTCCAGGAAGAAGGTGTTAATCAGTTAATCAAGTGAAGGGATCAGACAAAATATTCTCTCATCACACAATTTATGCCTGGTAAAGACTTTCATATAGGAATCTCTGGGGAATGTGTGGTCGTAGTGCCTCTGGGAGCTTTCTTTGCTGTGTGCATGTCCTGGGAAGTTGTGGTTTACTAGTGTGAATACAAAGTTGTGGGGCTGGGGAGTAGAGACTTCCAGGGCTGTAGTTCAGTGACAGAGAATCTGCTTTGCATGCAGAAAATCCTAGGTTCAATTCATGACATCTCCTGTCTGAAATTCTGGAGAGCACCTTACATTCAGGGTAGATGATAGGTACCAACATGAAGCCAGATGGACCAGTGATCTGGCTGAGTATAAGGCAGCTTTCTGTGTTCCTGTGTTCCATGATCTACAACTGGGTTGGGAAATTTGTGGTCCTCCAGGTGTTGTTGAGCTGCAACTTACCCTCGTGACCACTGGCCAATGCTGATGGGAGTCCCAACAACATCCAGAAGGCTCATTCCTCATGTAAACAGTTGCCTCCCCCACTCCACATTTCTGTATGGAATACCATCAATGTAAGGGACTCTCTAATTTGTTAAGCAACTATGTTGTGACGTTATGCTTTTAGAGACCAGGTTGTCCAAGCTCCAGTGGGAAAGTCGAGAGCCCTCGGGAGGAGGAAGAAGGGTTACAAAGATCAAGTGTGTGACTGTCTGCTTGACTGCCTTGTGCACAGGTATAAGCGCTCTCTCTGTGTGTAGAGGAAGGCAACTTAATTAATAGCCATTTCCCTAATGATCTATCGGGAGTTCACTGATGTATGGGTTTAATTAGCCCAAACCAAATGCTGGGAGCCCGATGGTAGAACACACCATCTTTGTCACCAGGTACCTGTTACCATCCTGTTCTAATTTGACAACAAGTTAATCTGGGCTTGAACTGGAGGGTGGTGCTAGCCCCCAGACTGCCAGCTCTGTGTGATATATTGCTTGCTGTGGCCCAACACATGGGAGATGTACCCTACTCTCCGTAAGCTCCTGCCTAATCCCCGTGCCTGGAGGAATCTACGGCGCTCTTCAGACTATTTCCATGGTGAGTGGATAGAGGCAAGATCCTATCTGAATAACAGGACTGCACGTGTTGGCTCCTATCATGTTGCACCATGACTGTGAGCAGAATTCTCTTACTCTCTCATATATCAGGCACCCGTTGAAGTTTGATCTGAGACGGACTTTTAAACCAGTGGGGTATTTATTAGACAGCCTTCTGGCTACTTGTAAGGCAACTTATTGCCAGCCACACCATGAATCCCACTGCCCTAAACGTTATCATATAAAAGGCAATGACCATGCAAGCACCACTTATTCCCCCTTCAGGAAATAACACTGAACATATGGTGAGTGAGGCTAGGTTTTGGAGCTAGCAGGATCTAGCTGGCTCTGGACCAAGAGCTGAATGGATTTGGGATGTGTCTGGTTCTGGCACTATATGCTGCTGCTGGCCTAAGGTGAATCGGCTGCTTCTAAGGATTCTAGCCCACCCCTGTATCATGGGTCCAAGCAGGGAAATTGCTGCAGAAGGTTGAAAACCATGCAGAAACACTTGCATAGCCAAGCCACAACTCAGAGGTGGGTATGGGGAAGTTAACAGCAGATCTGCATGCTGGAGTCTACAATGCAGCCAGGTACTGCCACAGGGGAATGGGGGAGCACCGAGTGGCTAATAGTGGAGCTAACCAGGTGTTCTCCATAGGAATGATCATAATACATATTACATGTTTTGCTATGCACTTTGACCACCCTTTTGTGCACACAATCAGGGTGGATAAAGTATCCCTGAGAGGCTTTAAAGACAGTATTGATCCTAGCCATTGGCTGCATTTATAAGAATGCTCCAAGCTGGCAGCCCCAGAAAAAGAAGCTGCTGCTTATTAGCGTAAGTTGTCAAGTTTCCATATGCACACAATGACAGAATGAGAAAGTGCCTCCCCTGCCAAGCTCCTGGCTACCCTGATTGCATGTACAGATTTGGAAAGGGGTGGCTTTAACCAGTTTTAAGGATTAACTCCATTAATTATGAAAATGCACCCTCAAGTGCAGGAGGGTGGTTCTGATCTGAGACGCCTGCTAAACAGCCCCTTGAACTGGGAAAGTGTCCTCTGGTGCAGGACACTGTCTCTGCTCTACCTCTGCCTGTGTCACACATCTGATGGATTATCCTGTAGGAGGAGCCAATAAACAATCTGGATGTGGCTTAATGTTGAGAAGACCCTGCCTTAAGGAGCAAGCTAGGTGCTTCTTAATACCTTCCAGCTTTATGATGTTATGAGTCCCTAATTATTATACAGAAAAAGCCAGGGGGCAGGGATTCTTCTAGAATAGAAGTGTGATCTCACCAAGTCCTTGCACAAATCTTTGAATGTTGTTTATATCCCCTAGTGTTTAGTTTTACTGGTGTGCCCATCCTATACATACTGAAAGGTGCCTTTTCCTTCCATGTGTTTATATACTTCTCAAAACAAATAGGAGAGCCCATGACCAGCTTTAGATTCAATCCAGATGGCTGGGGTATAATTAATTTATTGTTATTATTATTATTCTACAGATGTGGTGAAATGGAGTAGTATAGTTATTTGTTGCTTGCTTGCTTGCTTGCTCGCTTGTATATGTATCCCACCTCTTCCCATTTAATCCTCAGAACAACCGTGCAAGGTAGGTTAGGTAGGTTAGGCTGAGAGTAGCTGGCCCAAGGTCACCCAGTGAGCTTAACAGGGCCCCAGTCTTAGTCCAGCCCACTAACCACTGAGCCACACTGGCTCACCTTGACACTCCAAATTGAGCCTCCTTGATTAAGGGCAGTATACCTCTGGGTGGCTGTGGAGGGATTAACCTGCTTACGAGTGTTTCATGGCCTTGGCTGGAAAGAGACCTGAATTAGATGAACCCTTGATCTGATTTAGGAAGGCCATTTATGCTTATGGCTTTAATGAACTTAGATCCCTGTAAGGCCTTTTCCATTATGAGAAATGTTTGTAGTGTCCCACTGGGAGTTTTGGAGTACTGAAGGCCTTTCCACTTTTGCAGCAATTCTGAATTTCTGTCTATTTTGCCCATGCATCATACAGTGTGTTAATTCTCTATGAGTGCTAATTTAATTTCACGGTCACCAGCAAACGTCTGGCTAGCAGGAAGGCTGTGCATATATACATCTTCCTATAGAAGTGACAGAACTCCAGATTGAAGATAAGCACACAAGTACTGTTTCTGCCTGGCACTCAGTTTATAGCTTCTCCTCTCCCGTCCCTCCCTCCCAGCCCAGTCCAGTCCAGAGACAGAATCTTCTGTTTCTCTTTGATGCAGTCAAAGGGTAGAGATGGGTCATTCTGCTTGGAGGCACAGGCTAACTCAGGATCTCCCTCTTCCTATCAAAGTCCTGAAGAGGGCAGAGTATCTGTGAGGTCTAATCCACTGTCGTTTTTGTTTGTTTTCTCTTCAACCGTGATGTGGAACTCTGGAGCAAGCCTGGTTTCGCATCCCAATGTGAAATCTGTGCGACAGCTGAATTCACTTTAGGTCAAAAAAATCCCCACCCTAGACTTTTTTCTCTCTCTTTTTTGCATCAATCGTAGTCCTAACACTTCCTGCTTTGGGCACCAGCCCAAGGCTGCCACAGCTTTCACATTCCAGAGCTCTCCCCCAGCAAGCCCAGAGGATTAAGAAACACAACTTCATTGCTTTTCCTTATTCCTCCTTGTGCTGAATTGGGGAGTGTGGGGGATCACTGGCACTTGAGCAATAGGCAACCAGGCCTAAACCCAAAGACTGGGGCTGTTTGCCTGGGATCTGCAATGGCAGGGTGGCTCTCTCCCAACAATAAGGCAGGCTGCATCAGATCGCCTGCCAAATGCAATTATTTGCAGGGTAAGTAGCACTGAAACAGGCAGATTCTCTGCAGGCGCATAGTCTGCCATGGATGGAGACCAGGGGGATTTCTGGAGTACTAACACCATCTGAGCCCAGGCTAGAACAAGGCGCGATTCATTCACTTCCATATCCAAATGAGAAGGCCTGAGAGGCTCATCTCCCTTGGGAAGTAGTCACACACAGTGAAAACTGTGACCAGAAATATGGCTCAGAATTTACGCCTGGGGGAAGATTCCCTAGCAGCTGGATGGGTGAGGGCAACAGGACTGACAGTCTCCTGCTTCTCTCCCTGTAGATGTCAAAGTGGCGGCTGTTACTGTTGTGGAGCTTGGTCCTGGCTTGGCCTGGTGAAGGATCTCAGCGAAGCGAGATGTTCACAGCCATCACGGATCAGATCCTCCCGCCTGACTATGACAGCAATCCGACACAGCTCAATTATGGTGTGGCTGTGACTGATGTGGACCAGGATGGAGACTTTGAGATCATCGTGGCTGGGTGGGTACCATGGATAATACTGGGTGCTGTCAGAGGTATGAGAATGGAGGTGGCTGCCAGGAAAGAGGGTACCATGGTTGGGATGAGCTTTGACATGATGCAGGACTAGGCAGGTTTACATACACATTCCCAAGTCTAGGCTAGGTATACATGCATCTTTGACATGTCTCTCTGAGGTAGGGTGGGGGTGGGTGGGGAGAGATTGCATGTCTTTCTGGTTTATTTTGGAGATTCTAGGCTGGAGGCAAGTGTAGGCTTGGTGTCGTTTGGTGTCCTCAACCTCCCCAAGGCAGCCTACCTTTGTAAAAAAAAAAAGGCGAAAGATTTATACGATCTGAAGAGAAACCAGAGTATGGCAGCCTACCTTTGTTCTAGAGCAGGGGTGAGAAACCTTTTTGGCTCCTTTGGCCAAATTTGACACCAGATGATTGGGCGCTTTGAAGTCCTAAAGTCGGGACTTCAAAGCACCATGCACATGCAGTCCAGCGGGCCTCAGCTGATGGGTGGTAGAGCCAAGTCCTGCTTTATGCAATCATCCAGTAGAATTTGGTTCTAGCCAGCTTTCGCTTTGGCTGAAGCCTACTTTCCCTTGTAAATGCACAACTGTGGACCCACTTTTAAGACTCCTGATTTGTGCATTGGCACCTGTGTCTATACCAGCCCCACACTGATGTCACATTGACATCAAGTATGGGGAAGGTGTGTGTGGTTTGGCGGAAACGGCCTCACAGGCAAAATCTGAACCCCTGGCATGGGCCAAGTTTGGTCCATGAGCTGGAGGGTGGGTTCTAGAGGGATGAAAAATGTGTATATTTCTGCTCTTTCATTCTGATGTTCAACATGCTGGGGTCAGGCTGTAGCACCTGAAATAAACCTGAAGTAATAACAGCGCAAAGGTACGGATGGAGGCCTGAACGTGCATCTGCAGTAAAGCTTTCCTTTAGCAGCTGTCTTCCCAAGTCATTTCTCTGACAAACTGTTTCTGCCTGCAGCTGCCTTAGAGCCCCCCTTGCCAGCTGGCCACCCGGGAGTCATGACCTGGTGGATGGGCACTGCAGGGGGGCTGTCCCTTTATACTTGGCCACCACTTGTATAACTTGTCCGGCCCATAAAACATTCTCTGAATTGCACTGAGCTGGGGGAAGGAGCATATATCTGCCGGATAACTTTTATGTCTGGCGTTTCCTGGATCGTATTCACCTCTTCGGCTGAGTTCACTTTCCCAAGAAATCTCATTTCTTCGTAGCCTCCGTCTCTCTCTGAAACCCTTGAATTCCTCCTTAGGTGTTGCTCTGTCCTGCCCATCCTTAATGCAGCAGCAAGACAAAGTAATAACACGGCTTGTAAAGGCTTGGGGATATTAGGGTCCCAGAATTTTCTCTTGGGCTGCTGCGCTCAGCTGTCCAAAGCCACATTGTGTGTTTTATGGCCACCCATGTCCCCTGCCTCCTTGCCCCACCTTGCTCCATGCAAGTACATTCTGCATTTGCCTCTGTGGAACAGAGCACCCCACCCCAAGCTCCCCCAGTCCAGAATGCTTTCATTCTCTTTGTGCCACATGAACACAAAAAGAAGCACAATTTCTTTTGCAGCAACAAGTTTAACTGAGGGGTTGGCTCCTTTACTTTGTGATACAGGGCCCAACTTGTTTTCCAGGCATCGTTATGTAAAGTAGATGCACATCCTTCCATTCAGAAGGATCCTGGGCTCTCGTTCTTTAACATTACAAACAAGTGAGTCATGCAACAAAATGTTGCAACGTGGAGTTCAGGATTCCAGGCACTCATTCCATTCCATTTTCCTACCCCCAAAGTCTGCCCCTCTTCTTCTTTTGCATTCCTCCTTATACCTCCTTCATGTGTGTGTTTGGTGCCATATTCGCTGAGCATCAAAAATAAAAGCTATATCACATTTGCCCTAATACCCAGCGCCCCATATCACCTGTGTTAAAGCTGAACTGCTGTGGTGTGTGCCTTGAGCTGGTCATCCACTCTAAGGCGAGGCAAGCCCTTTTCTCTTTTCACCAAGTCCTCTTGCCCAGCTCCAAGGTCAGCAGCCTATGCAGATGAGCTGACTTCATGCCCCCTTAGCCAGCTCCTTTCCTCCAAGTGGATAGCCATTCTTTTCCAGAGTGTGGTCATCCGCATAGCAGCACACTTCCTGGCTGCAGAAGTTACCCTCGCCCCATCAGCATTATCAGGCCAGAGTTTCCACCACATTCTTTATGATGTGGCTGCCATCTTGTAATTTACTTACTTGTTTACTTACTTACAGTATTTCTGTACTGCCCAGTGTACTGCCCAGTAACAAAAGTCCCTTGGCTGGTTTGCACTAAAACAAGACAATAATATGTGAAAATATAATAACAGGTAAGCATAAAGCTGAAAACAGACTAAACCTAGCAGCAGAATAAATCCAGATTTAAAACCAGCAGTGGAGAACAACAACAGTGGAAAAGATCTTAAAAGTGCTAAGAAATTTAGGATAGAACTTTTAAGACAGGGAAGCCTAGGAAAATAAAAAGGGGTTCATCTGGCACCAAAAAGACCACAGCAGAGGCAAGAGGTTTTAGGGAAGGCATTCCAAAACAAAGATGCCCCACTATAAGGACTCTTTCTCGCTCTCTGGTTGCTACCCACCAAACCTCATTCACTGGGAGTACCAGAGAGAAGCCTCAGAAACTGACCATAGATAGTGTTTGGCTGTGCATATGTGAGACAAGGCGATCCTTCACGTATCCTTGCCCCAAGCAGGTTAGGACTTTTGACTTGGAACCCAAACTACCTTACCCTCTCCCCAGTCTTTAGGGTTGAGTATCTGACAGCAGCAAAAAGCAATGTGAAAAATGGCTTGCACTTAAGGAAAAGCAAAGGTTCCCTTGCTGTGACTAGGCACTCTGGCCAGTGGCATCTCACCTGGACTGAGCAGCTGCTGGCATTCTCTTGGAGGGAGGGGCAAGCCTTTCCTCTCCAGGTTCTCTCTTGCTGTGCTGACAGGCCTCGGTGTGCACCAATTGACATTGTGTTAATTGGCTGCAGAGCGAGGAAGTGCCCCAGCTCATTATTGGCATACTTGGCTTGCAAAGGTGCACAGCAGTGAGCAAGACATTCAGCTGTGCGTATCCCCAATCTTCCTAGTTCCAATTGGTGGGGATGAGGAGCGGAGTTGAAGCTTGGCCAGCTGCTTGAAGAGCCAGCCATCCGGCCCATTCCACATTGTCCTGATAGGGATCCAACAGTTTTGCATCTGGAGGGAGCAAACATCAAGGGAGATTTCAATGCAAGCATAATAAAGACTGGGTGTGCATATATGTGTGCAGGTCCAGGAGGGCATCCTTGAGAGGACAGCCCCTCCCCCATGAACCATACTGCAATAGCAGCAGGATTTCAGCTGTATCCCAAGGATCCCCTTAATCTGCTAGCCAAATAAGATGCAGTCCTCAGCAAAGGAAGTGTCAGGCAATACACAGATTGACCTGATTGGACTGTCCCTTGGAGACCTCTGCACATGGTCCTTGTGGTCCCTTCCAACTGTACGTTTCTATGATTCTATGTTCTAGACTGTCAGGAAACCCTGTAGGAAAGAAACCTTTGAGGAACTGCAAGCCACAATACTTTTAACACTGTGAGACAGAAACCCCACACCTCATGAGACAAATCTAGGCTGTGGAGATCTGCTGCTACCATTACTACTAATATTAACACGGATATAATTATGAAGACTGCTGTCCTCATGACACAAACAATTTGAAGAAACTCTGATTCCAATGAGTGCTGCTAAATCATGGACTTCTGGGATTGCACGATTTCTTTACAGCAGGAATAGCCAACATGGTGCTCTCCAGACAATGCTCAACTCCAGCTTCCATCAGTCCCAGCCAGCATGGCTGGTGATCAGGGATGATGGGGGTCCAATGACTTCTGGGGGCCTGTGGAAACACCATCCCTGATATACAGCCTCTCTGGTGGGTCAGATCAGTCTGCTGATCTGACTTCTTAAAGTTTTAGTAAAGGGAAATGTCTGCATCAACTCAGCAAACTTGCTCATTTACCTGTATTTGTCTTTAACCTGAATCCATCCATCCTTTTTGTCCCATCGTCCCACTGACCTTTCTTCATGGACTTGCATTCCAAACCTGGCATCTCCATCATTCTGTCCTGAACTGTCACCAATTTGTCAATGTTCTTATTAAAGGGAGACGCTACTTCTTCAGTGGTGGCTTGAACAGTGCTGAACAGAGCAAGTAGGTTCTGCTTCTTAGACACACTGCTTCTGAGAAGGCAACCTCAAAACAACATTTTGTCTGCTTTTGCCATAATCCTAGCTCACATTTAGTTTATGATCCGCTATAACTCCAGACACTTCTCAGCAGTATTACTGCCAACCTAGCCAAGTTTTTCTAAAGTTCAGTTGGGGTTTTTTCCTTCAAAATGATTTCCTCTTTTCCCCCAGCTCACCTGTGGCTAGGATTTTGATTTGCCAAATTCATTTTTAATTTGACTCCTATCCCCTAAAATGTTCACAGACCTTGCTAGTTTGTGTCACCTGCAAGATTAATAAGTAGGTTCTCCAGCTTGCTAATAGAAATCAAGTAACACCAAATCCAGGTCTGATCTATGTAGAAGAGCTTCAACAATGCATTAAGTGTTCTCTGGGGAAGAATTCCATTATTCCTCCACCCGTCAGATGGTAGCATTTCCCCTTTCATCTTCTGGTTTTGTCATTAGTGCTGGTGCAACTCCAAGAAGCATTCTATAGCAAACACCCCCTCACATGCCCAGTATCTCCTCCAGCGCATGCCAGAGAAGCTATTGCTGTCCAAGATGTGCTCATACCAGAGACTGGCTGAGTCTTGCTGAAGTGAGACCAGGCTGACCTGGCGATCTCTGTTGCAGGTATCTTCCTTCCTCTGCCAATGGAGTGTCTGCTTCCAAGCTGTCCATATTCAGCAATGTCAATTCAGATACCACTTCCACATGGTCTATGGCCACATTGTTGATACTTGGAGCTTAATAGCACAGATGCTGCTGTTGTGCCTGGATGTGAAATGTTAGCAGTGGGAGCTAAGGAGCTGAATGCATCACCTGAAGACAAGTCTGGGCACAAGCAGGTTTGCTGCTGTTGGCTTCTCTTTGATCACTGACACGTGCTAGCTCAAGGGTTTACTGACATTCCCAGAGTAAGTGCTCACTGTGGTCTGAAATGGGATTGTGCTCCTACTCCATTGCTAAGGAGTCTGTTTGGATGACCCATCCCATCTGTGTTCTGTAGTCTTGACAAGGGCGGTGCTCCATATTTTCCTGGCCTAAGAATGAGGAGTGGTTGGGCCAGATGGGAGGGGGGGGGATTAAAACCCTCCCAGGGAGCTTGGCTGCAACCATCCCAGGGAGATGTTGAGGGGGGGAGGGGAGAGGCAATTATCTGCTTCCCTCCCGTGCCAGGCCATAACCATAAACAGAGACGGGACATTTCATAACCCAATGACTGCTGCTTGTGTAACTTGTTTATCCGAGGCCAGGGTATAGCGCTTGCTGAGTCAGCCCAGGCAGAAAGCCCTAAGTTGGGAACTGGTGCTCACTCATCTGTGCAAGAGGCACTAGACAGCTTTTTAAAATTTGGAAAGGGAAAGGCTCAAAATTCAGGCCCCTATCTGGTACAAGTAACTTAGCTGAGATTATTACAAGATCTGGGAGACTTTGAGCATGTTCATACATAGCAAAAAGCTACATTTTAAGCTTCATGTACTCCCTTTAATTTTCCAATGTCCAAATGAGTTTTATGGGCAATGAAACGGTATGTAGCAACAGTGCCCAGCCCTCTGCTCCAACTTGCCTGGCTTTGGGAGCAAGGTGGGAGAGCATTTATCCTGCTTTGCCATCCTGGATCTCTTAAAGCCTTTAGCACTGGAGTTGGCAAGTTCACCTGGTTAAGCGACAAAATACTTTTCTCAGCTCTCTTGGGAAAGCCTTTATCAAGAAGAAGTGGTGTTGTGCTGCCTTAACAAGAGAGACTAGAGTTAGAACTATTCAAAACCATCTGTAGGCTGAGTTCCTTTCTCATGCCTAGCTACTTCTAATTTGCTTTTGCACTTGTTCCTAATGTGTGTCCGGCTCCTGAGAGAGGGGTGGAACTGCCTTATCCAATAAAGTTTATTAGCTGCTCAGATCTAGAGCGCTCTGGATCACAGACTACCACCGTTCCGGAAAGACCTTCACCATAGCCTAGGCAGCACTGTGCTTTTCAGTGGAGTGCATGTCCAATCAGGCAAAGGCTATGCCAACCACAAAAATGTGACATAGAAATAAGACTCTGGAAGAACTCAGAGCAGCTGTTAACCCTTTCACACGGCGTTCATCACACGAAAGCCTCCTTCCTATTCATGATTACAGATGGGGAGTAGGGGGAATATTGTAGCCAGTCATATGAGAAAAGCTTCAGATCATCTGACTATCATGTACTTGTTGAAATCATTGGGAAGCATCTGAATCCATGTTCTGTTTGAGAATGAAGAAATGGACAGTGTGAACATTTATAGGAACTCATTGCTTTTGATATGGCTTCAATGATGGTGTGGTAGATTTCCCAAAGCCAGTTTTTTCTTCTCCCAAGTCTCACAGGCACCAGCACTTTCAGGTGAATCTGGCCAATATATTGATATGTTCACCTCTGATGCACCTCTGATGCTCAGAATTCAGCCTCCGATGCAGCTATGGCTCTTTTTATCGATTGCGCTTCACAATCAGGCCCCAATCCTGATTCCCCTTGGGTGCTGGCAAGCGTTATTTTCTCCAGAGCATTGTAACATTGTCCTCAAGGTTTCTCCCTCCCTACCTGACCTCCTTCTCCTCTGCTGTATTAATTTTCTCTCTCTAGACTGTGCATTTTCAGCCTTCGCAAACTCCATGCTAACCACATTAGAGTCACACATCATTAGCTGCCAGATGAAACTGCTCAGGCGTTTCTGCAACTTTGCATTGTGTGATGTTAGCATGGATGGATGTCTAAAAGAATCCGGGTCTCATGCTGGATCTGACTATCAGGGTTCTAAGAAGCTGATTAACTGGACGTTTGGCATGGGAGGGTGCCACTGGGCCGTAGCTGTCCCGAAGACAGGCAGGTGCTGAATGAAAGCAGTACCCTAAGCCTTTGCCATCCCTGTACTAGAAGTGCCAGCTGTTGCCTGCCAGGGGTTTCCAGACTAACCCAATGTCATAAGCCGGTTTGGCATTCAAGCTCCAGGTGGGTTGTGTTGATCCCCAAACTGACAAGGGTAATTTCAACCTGAATCTTCTGGGCATCAGATCTCTGATAGATGTTCAATGCTTTCAAATAAGCTCCTCCTTGGCTTGCTTTACCAGCTGGCTTTTATTTCCTGGGAAGCCCCAGTACTGCCTTTCTGGATCCCACAGTCCTTCAATTTGAGTGAAATGAATTAGAAAAAGGAACTCTTCTTCCATAGAGATGGGAGCCCCACAGCCAGAAGCCCACCTCCAAATCCTTATCATTTAACCCTGCAGTTAGAAGGATAACCACCCACCATCTACTGCATGGTGGTCTGAAAATCTTACTGCCCTTTGCACATTTGAACATAGAACCGTAGAATTGTACAGCTGGAGGGGATCCCAGGGGTTATGCAGTCCAACTGCCTGCAGTGCAGGAATGTCAACTAAAGCATCATGTATCAAACAATCATCTGTCTCACCTGGATACCCTTTTGGGCATATGGCTGAATTATATGAATGTGCAATATATGTTTAAATTAGGTATGATAGCTCATTCACATATATATTTTTGCTGGGTTGGTGGATTGTTCTTATTGTTCATGGGTGCTGATGGTTCCCCCCTTTTCTTTTATTTACAGTAAAGTAAGAATTTAAAAACCTTTTTGCAGTGCTATCTACCTGATTTGGAACGTCTACAGTGCCAGGTTTTACAGCAGGATTATGGTAATAGTAGATACTGTGCTCTGAAATGGAGCCAGCCATGAAACCCATGTTATGACCTTGGCCTTGCTGTTCTTTTTGTTGTGGGGATTCAGTGGGATAGTCCCCTCGTTTGCTGCCCTGAACTGCAGGGAGGAGAAGCATACAAGTGGAATAAATATAGACATTCTGAAGTCTCCTCCATGTTTGGCTTCAAGCTCTACTCTCTTTGTGACACACCCTTCCCTTTCCCCCAGGAATAGCAGTGATGGGATGTGCCCTTTGCTGCCTCTCCCAGTAACCCCACGAAATGAGAACGGTGGACTTTGATTTTCTGGAAGAGATCTTGTGGGAAGGGTCACTGCTACCTTGAAGCACCTCCCACATCACATTTCCTGCTCTCCATTCTTTCAGGTACAATGGTCCCAACCTGGTGCTGAAGTATGACAAGATACGGAGCCGGCTGGTGAACCTTGCAGTGGATGAACGTAGCTCCCCATATTATGCACTGCGGGATCGCCAAGGCAATGCGATTGGTGTGACAGCATGCGACATTGATGGGGACGGGCGGGAGGAGATCTACTTCCTCAACACCAATAACGCCTTCTCTGGTGAGTGCGAAAGCTGTTCCTTCCTGACATTTGCCTGCTGGCAACCCAGTTAGCATATCCAGCTTCTCCTGTGCCCTATGAACATCCTTGTCCTTGATTTCTATCCATCAAGACCCACCTGCCTCTCAAGAATCACCTTGATCAGTCTTACATCTTTTACTAAGTTCTTGCACCTACCCATCGTCTGCCATGAGCCATCTCTATTCACCTCTGTTGTGACGTGCCCATCCCATAACACCCATTAAACACGTGGTACCCACCCATCAGTCCACATTCACTCACTGATGATGAAAACATGATGTTTTCTTCACAAAAGATCTTATCATTAACAGTTCCTGGCATTTATCCTGCAAACAGCAGACTGAAAAGGGAATGGGAGTGATCCACAGAGGGGCATGTGGCAGTGGTGGTGATGGCCAGTGGTCACTCTCCTTTCTTGGCTGATGTCCTGGCAGTGCAGGCTCCCTTCCTTCACACCGTTGGCTTTGGGGCTCTTCACCTGCCAGCCCCGAGCCACTGACTCCAGTTCCCTGACCTTCACTGGCCACCAGGGTGGGATGTTTCAAGGCTGAAGTTAATTTCCCAGCTGAGTGATTTTGTCGATTCTCTGGCAGCAGCGGGTGGCGGCGGGGGGGGGGGAGTGGGGGGGAGGAGAGACTTGGCTGCTGACTCAGGGCTTTGCCACATCTCTAGTTGCCAGCAGGGACTGCAGCTCCAGGAGCCCTGGGATCTCTGAGGGACAGGCAAGTATCTCGCTGGGCAAGGAGACATCCTTTGAGACAGCATTGGGATTATGCAATGGAGAAAGTAGTGAAACCCCAAAGCATATTCTTTCCCACCCCCACCGGCAATGCTGCAACCTAATGGTAGAGGGTCTAATATTTTCTTTTCTGGGAAGGTGGTTCCCTAATTCCTAGACTGCTACTAAGAGACCCTTTGCTGCTTTAGGAGCAGAGGAGGTGTTCGGCATGCTTTTGCAATGCCTAGGTGTGACCAGCCTCAAAATACGCACTGTTGGTTCTGTCCCAAGGCCAAGCCCCTTCCTAGCGGCTAGTTAGGAATTGCACCCAAGTCAACAGACGCTTTGCTTGGATGGCTTCACATGTTCAAATCCTAGAAATATGTTGCTTGATCAGATCTGGCAGCCTGTGACTTGCTCTTAGGGCAATGGTGGCCAAACTTGGCCCTCCAGCTGTTTGGGACTACAATTCCCATCATCCCTGACCACTGGTCCTGTTAGCTAGGGATGATGGGAGTTGTAGTCTACACCATTTCTAGTCGGAACATATCTGGAAAAGATAAATGCCCTCCTACCACCACCGCTTTTCCTTTGGTCCAAAGCACTGCTTGGGGTCTCCGGAAATCTGCCTAGAAAAGCGACCACTTCCCCATCGCATCCTTCCCGAGTAGGGCTGGGCCCCTCACCTGCAGCATCGACCTGCTCTTGGCTCCACTTATCAGTCTTCCTGACACACCTAATTACTGCTTTGCAGCTGCCAAAGGCTCCCTAAATCAGCCATTCACATTACTCCTGGCATCAGGGTCCGGCCAGTGCCTGCCATTGATTTTCCCCTTTCCCTTTATGATGAACATGGCTCCGCGCTGCTCTGGCACATTTTACCTTAATGAGTTTATTCTTTTGGGCCTCCCTTACCAGCCCTTAAGCTTTGCTGGGGTTGCTGCATTCATTGTCGCGCAGTCCTGATCACAACCCTGCAGTACCAGAGAGCAATTAGGCATTGGGCGAGGCCGGCAGAGTAGGGGGAGCCCCAAAAGGCGGATGATCAGGAAGAGGCATCTATGGGCAGAGGGAATGTGATCCAAATGGGACAGCCGCAAGGGTTCAATCTAGATCATGATTCGGGGGTGCATTCATCACTTGCAAAGATCTGCATCTATGGGTGTCACACTTGCAAAGTGTAATGCTGCAGTTCAGAGCCAGGCTTGCAGCAAGTCTCTGCACACCAAACCTGCAGTTGCTGGAGGCTTAGGGTGCCTCCAGACTGTCATTATTTTGCAAGAGCAATTCAATTTAGATTTGTGTAATTCAAATGGATTAAAGCACTCTGCTGCCCTAGCTCAACAAACCCACTTGCAGGGGACTTTTTATGGTTTGGAAAGTGACAGCAAAATGCACTAAAGAGTGTGGCATGAAGAAATGATTAATGGGAAGACATGTAAACACCCCAGAAGCAAATCAGGATGCATGTTCATTGGGTCCTTCCAGATGTCTCTTCTCTTGAATATTCATCATTATTTGTGCTCATGATGGTGTCAGGACAGTTTTATAGGATCCCACTTTCAAGCCTGTTCATCCCTGAAAAGGTTTCAGGACAAACATACTGCTTTGTTTGCAATAGGTGTGTGTTCTGTAGTTCAGTGCTGAAAACCTGCAACTTTTCATATCGCAGAAGTTCGGGGTCAGTGGGTGTTTATCCAGTTTTTGTTGCACTAAGCATAAGTTCCCTTCCGATGGTGATGATGTGGTCCATGGGCATCACTGAACAACTCATAAAGTAGTAGATTTGAGGGTGGTGTAAACCCTCCACTAATGCACAGTTATTGCATCAGTGACATTTTGCAGAATATACCCACAAAAAGCACCAGTCTGAAGGGACCCGTGGTCATATAACCTCCCCATAAACAAATCAGAACGAATGCATAGTCTAACCAGGCAAGATTTGTGCAAGCAAATCAGGATGAATGCTGAACAAACAGATCGTCTGGAGCATCAATTAGGGAGGGCCTGTAGCATAATTACACGGTTAGGGCTCCAGAGAAAGTCATGCACAACCCAGACTGATTTCCTGTCTTGGGAGAGAAGGAGAGAAAGGGAGAGCTGATTCAGCACCTGGCCAGGAGACCCTGAAACGTCTTGATACCTTATCTCTCCTTCCCAGGTGTAGCTACCTATACAGACAAACTGTTCAAGTTTCGGAACGGGCGCTGGGAGGACATCTTGAGTGATGAGGTGAACCGGGGTGTGGCAAGCAGGTTTGCTGGGCGCTCCGTGGCTTGCGTGGACAGGACGGTGAGTGTGTGGAACAGGTTGGGGTGGGTTGGCTTGAGGCTGTGATTTCAGGGCTGTGGGTCAGGCCCACGGGCAGGGGGGTGGCAGCTGGGAGCTGAAGATGCACCAGTGCAGTTGTATGGAGGAGGGGAGGACATGGGCTTAGAGGGGCCTGCTCTCCACCCAACTTCTCAAGGCCGAGCTCTGCCTCCCCCCCCCCTCACAGCTGTCAGGACTCCCATCAGGGACTGCCATGCCAGGCGGGTGCCGTGCTGCTGATAAACACAGCCTGTCTAGGTGATTTATGCCCCTGTCACCTGCGCTTTCTTCTCCCTCTGCCTTGCGTGGCTTATTTTCAAACGATTATTGCTAAATCAGGGTGCCATGAGGGAAACAATGGGGGGGGACAGGGAGTGGTTGGAAGAGATGTCTGAGGCAAAACAGGGGAGCATGAAGGATGGCACCCCCCTGTTTGGGAGCCCATGGCTGGACTACGCCACTTCTGCTCAGGTGCCTGCGACTGGCTTTACCTTTATAGACTCATCCCTGTCAGGGCCCTGGGTGTGGCACCCTCTGCATCCGTCCTCGTGCTGGGAAGAGAGGGGTCCAGTCCAGTGAAGACTCAGGCCTCTCACCTGCCCCCACGTCCCTTCCTACAGGGCTCTGGCCGCTACTCCATCTACATAGCTAACTATGCCAGTATGAGAGTTGGGCCCCATGCCCTCATCGAGATGGACACAGCTGCCAGCGACCTGGAGAATGGCATTGTGGCACTGAATGATGTGGCGGCAGATGCCGGAGTCAACAAGTTCACAGGTATGAGGGCAGAGGATTGTTCTCCCAAGAGCTAGCCCAGCTTAAGGGGAAAGGCTGTTGCTCAGTGGTAGAGCTTCTGTTTTGCATGCAGAAAGTTCTAGATTCAGCCCCCAGCATCTTCAGGAAGGGAAAAGAGTTTCCTGTCTGAACTCAGTTGGTAGAGCATGAGACTCTTAATCTCAGAGTTGTGGGTTTGAATCCAGTGTTGGGCAAAAGATTCCTGCATTGCAGGGGGTTTGACTAGATGACCCTTGTGGTCCCTTCCAACTATACCATTCTATGATTCTATGACTCTAAATACTGAGCTAGATGGGCCTGTGGTTTGGCCCAGTATAAGGTAGCTTCCTATGTTCCTATATGTGGCTGGGCATTACGAAGAGTGACAGAGCTCCTCTAGCAACTGCCACATACGTCTACCATTTTGTTTTCCTACAATGCCTTAGATGTTCTATTGTTGGAAAAACACGCAGATCCCGGCTATTAGGAAAACTAAAATAGCAGTCAAAAGCCAAGTTTGGCCAACTAAGCCCAAGCCTCCAGTATAGGGAGGTGTCAGGTCCTGGCTGGATGGTGAAGAGTGGTGGAAGACACCAGCTGGGAAACCTCCCCCCCACTGGAAATCCCAGAGAGGGAAGAATCAGAGCCAGGACATTGGTGGTGGGACACTGAGGTGAGATCAGAGGGGGGAAATTGGGAGGAGATGCTAGATACTGAAGGGACAACAGAGTAGAGTGAGCAGGAGGAACCTGTGACAGGCAGCAGTTCAGACTCTGAGGCTGAAGCAGAGGAGGGTGGTCAAGAGACTACTGAAGCATCCTGGGAGTTTCCCTCTCCAGCTGCGACAAGCTCCCATCCCCCCTACTCCCCAAGAATGTGCAGGATAATAAGGAGGGCAGAACAGAGACGAGAGGTGCACAGACACAGTTTGAGGCTGCCTAGGAAATGTCCAGGAGAGGAGGAGCCTTAGGAGGGGTGGAGGTCAGGCACCTTCAGTCCTGGCAACTGGGAAGTGTTGCTGAGCTGTATGCCATTTTTGTCTTGCTCTCAGTCTCTATGGCAGTGAACTGCCACTGACTATTTTTGTAATAATTGTGGTGGTGACCATTGCTGGTGAAGACTGAACCCCAACATTCAAGTGAAGTTCACTAATTGTGAAAAGAGGTGTAAGGGATCAGGAGAGCGAGCTAAGAAGTGGATGGCTTGATGATTTCTAAACATCTTGACGGGAACTTGTCCCACCAGTAATGCCCATATTGCGCTAACTTCTGGTTTTCACTGTTCCTCTTCCCAGGGGGTCGGGGCTTGGCTGTGGGGCCCATCCTGAGTGAAGCAGCCTCCGACATATTTTGCGACAACGAGAACGGAGCCAACTTCCTCTTCAAGAACCAGGGTGATGGTACCTTCATAGACGTAGCGCCCTCTGCTGGTGAGTGAGTGGCAAGGGTGAGGGTGTCATCGGAAGCCATTAGCTGTGGGGCAGAACTCATCAGAGCAGCTGCTTGGCCCTCTTTCATCCTGGTGGGGTCCTGCCATTTCCCTGTCCCTCTCCTTGCCTGCTGGTGTGTGTGTGTGATGACAAGTGCCTGAGGGCTCAGCCACCACCAGTAATTGAGCGTCTGGCTGATCACTGGAGTTTAACGAGGTGTCAGGGTGGCATCCATCACCGTGGTGCTGCTGATGACACCTATTCCCTTTAGAAACACTCCTTCCTTGTCAGCAAGAGAATAGGAGTAGGGGGACCTGCGGGGAGAGGCGGGAAGGATGGGTTAGGTGTCCATGGGAATCTGCAGAGGTCCTCTGGCCCCTGCCTGTGGACTGCCTGCTCCACCAGCCATCCTCTGCCCCCTGTAGCCTGCCCCCCACTGTCCCATCCTTGACAGGCTGTATTTGAGCCACTTGGGGCAAGTGCTGCCTCATAACCTCTGAGCTGCTCAACCTCTGAGCCTGGCATCAGCAGAAGGGAAGGCTCAGTTGAGTCCACAGCGTCCTTTTGCCTTCAGGGCACTCTCAGCCCTGCTGACTTCCTCTGCCGCCTCCCACAGGCCTAGATGACCCCTACCAGCACGGTCGCGGCGTGGCGCTGGCCGACTTCAACCGCGACGGCAAAGTGGACCTGATCTACGGTAACTGGAACGGACCTCACCGGCTCTACCTGCAGATGAGCGCAGGTGGGCGCTTCCGAGTAAGTGTCACGTGGAAGAGGGAGGTCCCAAAACGGTGAAAGGCCTGGGCTGTGAGCAGGGAAGTGGTGGGATCAGGGAGGGAGAGTCCAGTCCTTGAAGTGCCTAAGAAAGAGTGGAACAGAGAAGCCTTACTCAGGCATTCAGTGAACGCTTGGTGTTGGGGAAAGATACAGTGTGTGGGGTGTGTGTTTTTGTGCAAGGCCATGTGGGCCAGCCACACTCCTAGCTCCCCGCCCCCCGCTCCACAAACACTTGCCAGCTTTCGTGCATTGACTCCTGAGGTTCTGGAGGAGGATTCTTTGTGTGTTCAGCTGGATGCGCTTAGGATCAGGAACGTTGTGCAATCGAGAGTTCCCAGTTGCGGGCACACTTCCAAGTGCGCTCAGCTGAATATACGAACCCTTCCCCTTCAGACCCTTCCTGCTCAATGTGCGAAGGCTGGGCTGGAGCAGGCAGGGATCCCCACTGCCACCGCCACTCGGCGCTCCCTCTGTGCTTTATTCCCTCCCCCCCACGCATTCTGGAAAGCCAGAGCAGAACTGCAGATCACCAAGGAGACTGCTGCCTTTGCCCCCAGCTGGGCCGCCAGATGTTCCTTGTTTTTAAAGGGTTGCCTCGTCTTTTAGACCCGCGGCTCTGCACCGTTGCTTATTCCTGCCATGTCGACCAGGCAGCCTTTCCCTCTCCTTGGTTCCTTCTCCAGCTGCTGCCTTGCAAGAGACTGCAGTCTCTGCGCTGTGCCCAGCTCCTCCAGCTCTGCTCCCCTCCCCACTCCACAGCTCCCGTGTATTCTGGCCCTGCCAGCCACAGTGCCTCCTGACCCCTCCCCTCCTTAGACCTGAGCTTCCTCTTGGCCCTGCTCCAGCCCAAGCCCTGCCCCACTAACCCCCGTCCTTCCCCCAGGACATTGCCACGCCCAAACTGTCCATGCCATCACCCGTCCGCACCGTCATCGCTGCTGACTTTGACAATGACCAGGAGTTGGAGGTCTTCTTCAACAACATCGCCTATCGCGGCTCATCCGCCAACCGCCTCTTCCGGTGGGTGAGAGCCACGTGGCCACCAGAGGCTGGGGCAGTGGGCTCCCCATCTTACCAGGCTCCCGGGCACTGCAGGGAGGGCGACCCCCGCACCAGAGTCTGTGGTGAAGCCGCTTCGTCCTTAGGAAGTCCTGCATGCAGAACTTGAGAATATGGGGAGAGGGAGGAGGGAGGGCTGGATTCTGCATCCAGAATCTAGCGCCTTTTAGATCCCCCACTGCCGTAACCCACAGGAGGGTGTGTTCTATCCTGCTCTGCCCTCCCTCCGGTCAGCTGACAGAGCTGTGACTGAGCTCCTTCCTACACCGCTACTAATACAGCAGTTCTGTTCCGCCTAGACCACATCCCTGGAGGTTCTGGCTTTCACTAATTAGCACTTATGCACGGTTCCCATTAATTGTAGGCAATCAATGGCTCGTTAAACAGAGCCGCTTACATTTCTCAGGCTAATAAAGTGATAGCAGCAGCATGTGGCAAATCTGGGCAGTCCGTGCGGAAACCTGTTGCTATGCGAGTGGGCAGGGCCCCTTTCTAGGAAGATAAGGATTTGGCAAGATAGTGTGTGAGCAAAGGGTGGTGCCCACTCAGGAGTAGTGGTAGTAGGCTTGACTCCCATGACGGGCCCTTTTGTGGGAGGGAAGAGCATCTTCTCTGCACTGGCACACTCCCCTTCTGCCACAGGGTGGTCCGCCGAGAGCATGCTGACCCGGCCATCGAGGAACTGAACCCTGGTGATGCCGTGGAACCCGAGGGGCGTGGCACAGGTGGGTCTCCACAATGTCTCTTGTGGAACATGATCAGGTGGCTTCGCTTAGCAGGAGTGGGCTTAGTGAACAGAGGGGTTACTCTAACCACCAGACGGCCTGGGGTGGGGGCTTGTTCCAAAATTCGTATTTATATCCCACCCTGCATATAAATAAGGTAAAGGGACTCCTGACCATTAGGTCCAGTCATGGACGACTCTGGGGTTGCGGTGCTCATCTCGCTTTATTGGCCAAGGGAGCTGGCATACAGCAGGGATTATCAGCATGGGGATGGATGTGGGGAGCATCTTCTCACTGCAGAGACAGCAGGTACTCAAAAGAGATGGGAGAGGATTGGCAGAGCTGGGGGCTTCGGTATCCCATGAAAAGATCAGAACTTTATGATTTGGTGGGTGGAGGGGAGAGGGACAAAATATCCTCTTGCCCCAAGCCAAAAGGTCTGTGATCTGGTCACACATGCTTGGCCAACTCTTAGAGCAAAGCATGAAAGCAAAGTATTAATAATAATAATAATAATAATAATAATAATAATAATAATAATAATAAAATAATTAATAATAATAATAATTTCAGCACTTTTTGTGAAACATCTCTAAGTGTCCTTCAAAATATTAAAATACAAAACAACTTACCAAGCAGAAAGAATTCATAGCATATCATAACCCATAAAAATAATTAAAGTGTGCCTCCATCAAGAAGAAGCAAGATGACTCCTACACCACTAAAAGGTGAAACCAAGCCAGGCCAGAATCTTACTTCATGACTATTACATTAAGATCCAGGGGTTGGCTGTGTGGAATTCCCACCCACCACCAAGACGCTAAAATCTTGAGTAACATTCGCAGAAATGATGTCGCCATTTACAAAGCATTTGGCACCGGGAACCGAAACAGTTTCTGGGGTGAACAGGCACACGGATGGTCAGTGTCAGTGGAGGCAATTTGGGTGGACTCATGGGGCAGAGATGTAAGAAGTCCTATTGTGTCATTCCAGGGGGGGCAGTGGTGGATTTTGATGGAGATGGAAGGCTGGACCTGATCCTGTCACATGGAGAGTCCATGGCCCAGCCGCTTTCAGTCTTCAAGGTCAACGAGGTGGGTGCTGAGAGGTGCTCCTCACAATGTGCTCAGATCCCAACCCACATCTGAGCAAGCATAGACCACTCCTTCCTCCTTTTTGTGCCTGCTCATTCCTTGGTTGAGTCTGTCCATCTCCACAGGGCGCTGGCAACAACTGGCTGCGAGTGATCCCACGTACGCGCTTTGGGGCATTTGCTCGCGGTGCCAAGGTGGTGCTCTTCACACGTCAGAGTGGTGCCCATCTACGTATCATTGACGGAGGGTCTGGGTACTTGTGCGAGATGGAGCCCGTTGCCCATTTCGGCTTGGGTGAGTGCGGAGGAGTTGGAAGCAGGGCTTGGAGCCTGAGCGGGGGGTGTGCCCTCCCAGGTCTCTTCTCGTCCTGTCCATCTTCACGGCCATCCCAATGATGCTTCTGAGCTTCCTGGATCCCCTCTGCCGCTCATCCCTGATAATACCTGCCCTGCACTACCAGAACACATTGCAAGCTATGCCGACATTTGTTTCTGTCCTTCCTCTAACAAGCTCCCTTCAGTCTGAAACCTCTGCCTCTAGGCATAATGCCCCATCTTTGACTTCTCCCAAGTCTGCTAATGTTGCTGAAAAACAGGGTAGATTTGGTGAAACCTACCTATCCCCGGTGTGCAGTCCTCTTTTTTCAAAACATTTAGAAAGTCTGCTTCCTGTCCTCAGCAGAGCGGACGTGCGTTGCAGCGAGGCCCCTGCCTGCCCCCTCCAGCTGTTCCTGCAGAAGGGACGGCATGTCTCCACACCTCATTACTCTTCCACAGCCCCGAGGTGGCCCAGCTTAGTGGGGCCTGGCTGGGTTAGACCACGCTGTGAGTTGAGAAGCCAAGTGGCACGGAAAGTCAGAGGGCCCGTGCCCCACAATGCCCCACATCACTGCTCACAGCTGGCCTTGTGCCCCAGAGCCATGCTAGTGTTGGCTCAGAGTGCTTGATGGAAGAACATGACCCTCATCACATCCCAAGTTCTTTCATCTCTGCAGGAAGAAATGGTTGAAAGGGGGAGAGGGAAAGGAAAGCACAGACCACCGCATGAGAGGAAGATGGTTCTCCAGAGCAATTCAGATCCCTGGGTGGGCTGCACGGGTTTTTTTGTTTATCTCTCCTGGGCTCAACCCTTCCTTGCTTTTCTTCCCTGTAGGACAGGATGAGCCTAGCAGCCTGGAGGTGACTTGGCCAGATGGCCGGGTGATCAGCCGGTCGATAGCAAGCAGCGAGATCAATTCCGTGCTGGAGATCCCCTATCCCCGGGACACTCCGGGATCACCCCTTACCATTCTGCCTCTGGAGGTGAGCCCTGCCTTTGCCAGCCATGTGCATCTTACTTAGAATGGATCCCTCCTCAATTTCACCCTTTCCTCTTTGAAACATTTTTCCATTTTCTCATCTCACTGAGAAAAAGGGCCATGCAAAATCCTGTTGGAGGCTCTGTGCTGACAGAGGTATTATTTTTGTCCCCTTAGAAAGGCAAATTGCAAACCTAAGCTGTGTTTCCTGCATTAAGGCATGTCAAGAATCCTCGTAATAATGTAACTCCTTCCAATAACAAATTCAGTGCCCCCTTGTTGAAAGAAATGGACATCAAAAGAGCCACTGAGGGTGTCTCAGCAGGCAAAGGGGAATCCTGAGCTTCGCAGAAGTGCAAATAAATACATCTAAAAATTAAATATCAAAAGAGGGCAATTCCCTGTCTCTTAAAAGAAAGTGAAGGCTGAGTATGTTCACTGGTCCCTAAGATTTGCGGTTCGCAGAGTGTCATATTAAAAAAACCCAGAAAATGGGAGAGAGTGACTTGCTTTAGCTGCTTGTGACTTATAGTATGCTGAAAAAAGATGCACTGCAATATTTTTTGTAGGGGCCTCTTCTTCCTTCTTAAGAGTGAACTGTGGTGGTTGAGGGCCTGTCAAGCAAAATAAGTAAAGGTAAACGGACCCCTGACCATTAGGTCCAGTCGTGACCGACTCTGGGGTTGTGGCGCTCATCTCGCTTTACTGGCCGAGGGAGCTGGCGTACAGCTTCCAGGTCATGTGGCCAGCATGACTAAGCCGCTTCTGGCGAACCAGAGCACGGAAACGCCGTTTACCTTCCCGCTGGAGCAGTACCTATTTATCTACTTGCACTTTGAGGTGCTAAATGGGGCCACCCAAAATTAAGACAGTGACTTCCAAGTAGTTGGAGGGGCCCTAGATTTTCAGAAGAAGTTACATTTGGGGGTTGAAAGAAAAGGACAAGCTCATGTGCTACTATTGGGCAAGGTTTTCTCTCTCTTTCAAATGCCATTTTCTTTTAATGGACAAACTTGGTGGTTACTTGCCCAGTTAGGCAACAGCCTTCCCAGGAGGGTGTCCACTTTCACATACCCCCCCCCAAAAAAAGAGGACACAAGTTGGCATAAAATTTGCAAATGTCAAGTTATACATATAGATGCAAACTGAAAAACAATTACTATCATTTAAACAGAAATACAGGTGGGAAGACTCTGGCCAGGTAACCTGTGTATCTGCTCTGGCTGCTGTTTAGATGCTAGCTACAGGTTCAGGGCCCCTGCTCACTTCCCCTTCTTAGAGTTCCTTATTTTTAAACTGGACTTGGACCAACCAGACCGTTGATTAGAGGATTCCTTCAGGCTGATCAGCTGGCCTAATTTCCTACTCCTCTGTTATGGGGTGGCATACAAATGCCACTAATAACATCAGTTATTTGAGTCTGTTCCCTTTGAGTGGTCTGTTTTGGAGCTCCCTGATTTGTGGCAGCAACAGTTCAAGTGATCAGGGAGGCTGTAAACCAGCCGAAGGGGCCTTGGTGTGCTAGACAGATAATAACTGAAATGACGTTTCTACAAAATGTGCTTTCGTCAGCTCAGTGAATTTCAACACTAGAGTTGCAGCGGAAGGAGGCACAGAATGGCTAGACAGTCCGTGCCAAAAAGTTCTGCAACACGACTTCTTCAGCTCTAGCTGCAGCAGGAATTGCTGGAGTTATTCCTAGTGAAGTGGTCCAGAGCAGACTTTGTCCTTCCCCTGCCGGATAAGGGCCAGCTATGTAGGTTAGATAACCTCTCTGTTTGGTGAATGCTGAGTTGTGAATTCTCTGTGTTCAATGGCAAATTTACTAGATGTTAAGAGGACCTGCATCTACACCATGGAAATGAACAAGACTTGCTCCTGTCCATCCTCCCAAAGAAGCCCACTATCCAGAAATCTGACGTGGGTCCTTTACTGTGCATTATAGGAAATCACTTGCAAAGGATGCCCCATGTTCTTTTTTAGAGGAAGCGGCTCTGAATGTGAACCCATTTGTACATATGGATTTCCCCCTTCCATTGAAGTGAAGTGGGAAGGCCAGATGTCCCATATGTGAAGCGCAGAGTCTGGGTTTGGGTAGTCTGGCTGTAGCATTACTCCCACTGCTACACAGAACTGTTATAAATACTGGAGAGATGTGGAGTCGCAGCAAAATATGTCATCCCCTTCGTCACAGATCTTAAGAAGTCTAGAACAGCATGCAACCGACCCTTTCCTTCTTTGCTGCCCAGATTGCAGGACAGTGAATTTGCCCATTGCAAAACACTCGGAGGTGAAGAAATAGGCGCACAAGGCAATTGAGACCTTGGGGAATGATTGGGGAACTCATCTCATCTTCTGCCAGCTGTGAAAGCCCAGCCTAGGTTCCCCTGCTGTTTTAAAGTGTTGAGCCGAAACTTTCCGTATACCTTTCAGAACTGAGATGATAACAAAAAGAGACTTAAGGGCTGAGAGCTACCACATTAGCTGCTATATGGTCTGAGGCAGCCACACAAACTCCCTGATTTCCTGGAAATAGCATCTTGGAGGAGGCAAGGCAGAGAGGGAGCTGAGGCTGGGAGGCAATTAGGCAACACGGATAACACATTTCTTTCTTTCCCCCGCAGTGTGGCCAAGGCTTCTCTCAGCATGAGAACGGGCGATGTGTTGGTGAGTCACCTGCAAGGGGCAGCTCAGTGAATGGTGCTCGGGTGCAATTTCCTCTACCCACATCTGGGCTCAATGGGGCACGAGGCGGGCTCTTTGTGGCAGCCGTCCACAGCCACACAGCGGTAGTCTCTGGGGATAAAGCAACAGCCCAACCGTGGTGTTAAGATGCTGTTGTTAGATTCTGTCCTGTCGTGGGCCTCCGTCACACTCTCTTTCTCTCTCTTTACCCCCCTCCCTCCCTCCACCCGCCCTCTGCCCCCTTTTCCCAGATATGGATGAGTGTGCAGAATTCCCCTTTGTCTGCCCCAGGGGCAGGCCCATCTGCATCAACACATATGGCGGGTACCGTTGCCGCAGCAACAAGCGCTGCAATCGCGGCTTTGAGCCCAACGAGGACGGCACAGCTTGCATTGGTGAGTGATGCCATTGGCAGACCAGAGGGAGGGAGAGAGAGAGGCGCTCCCCACAGGGGCTGAGTCCTCCCTTGAAGCCACCCAAGCAGTGAAAAGTTTAACTGAGGCTGGGTTTTCTTTATTTCATAATCCCAAGATGGGAAGGAGCAAGGGAAAGCAGTGAAGCCAGTGAGGTCCTGAGCTTGGAATCACGATCTCTGTACGTTGGCCAGTGAGAAGATGGGGTGGGGGGCACTGTAGTGCCTGCTTTGTATGCCGTGTTAGGATGCCTGAGCAAAGGAGGAGAAGCGGTAAAGTATACCTTCAGGCCAAATAATACATCTGGCATCAGGCATGAGTCTGGAAAAGTGTAATAGTTGCCGAACAGCTGCAAAGCAGTGGGCAAAGAGTGCAATTTGCAGGGAGGTGTGGAAATGGGTGCTTACCCCCCCACACACCTGTTGCTTTCCTCTGTATGTTCAATGGTAGGTAGGGTTACCAGGCCCTTGTCAGGCAGCAAACATTTGGTTCAGCCCCTGAAGACCTTCCTCTTTGCCAACTGCCTCTAACTCTTGCCTTGTCTTTCTCTTTCCTTCTCTCTGTCTCTCTGTCTCCCTCTCTGTGCAGCTCAAGTGGCCTTTTTTGGTGGATACCCTTCCTCAGGGAGCTGGCTGGGCCCCATCTTGCCCTCTGCCCCTCTTCTTCCACTTTGCCTCGGACTCTGCTTTCACTCCTATGCACTTTAAGCCTTGCCAATAAAGGACAAAAAGCAGCCTTTATAGATGAAAGTGGCTTCCCCTGTACTCCTCCCCTCCAATCTCTCTCATCCAGTCTTCTCATGGTGGTCCCTGGGAACATGGACTGAGGTGGGGGCAGCCATCTTTGCAAAGGGCACTACGCAGCCCGGCGGACGACACTCTCTCACTAGTGTCACACCCCTTGCATGTTTTCTGAGAAAACAAGACAGGGCAGAGGCCCCACCAATGCTTTGTCTCCTCAGAGTGGCTGCCATCTTCCTAGGAGCTTGCCTTTAACCAAGATGGCGGCTCCCGCTGGTAGTTGCTTGCTTGGTTAAAACTGATAACAGTTACCCTGTGCCTGCTGGTTTGGCCTGTGACATGATTGCTTCCCTTCCCTCCTCCTCCTCCTGCTCCCCCAGCCCGACTGGACCGGGATTCACCTTGACCTTGTCTTACCAGTGTGTGTCTGAAGTTTGAACCCACCCGGTCTCTCAGCTCACTCCACCCAATAAACTCTACACTGTCTATAAGCACCTGCTTGCAGCTATACTTGGGGCTTTGGGTGGGAATACGGGGCCACAACTTATATCCAGAAGATCAATGTAGGCCAAGAATGAGGTGGTGCGAAGCTGTGTGCCAGTTTCCTTTTGTGAGAGACACGTGTGAACCTTCAGGGAGATGGGTAGCCATAACAGCCGCAGGGCAAATGACTGCAGGCATTTGCATAGGACTTTGGCTACACACGAGGAGGCTTCAACTTGTAAGACAACTGCATGTTGACTATTTGCCTCCCAGCCAAGGCCATGCCATTCTACTATTTAGTAGCTCAGTTGTTTGAGCTGTGGTGACGTCTTCCCTATGCAAACAGCTCAACCAAAATCTTTAAGCCCTTGTAATTTCTATCACGATTGCAGAATCTGTGGTCCTCCAGATGTTGTTGGAGTCCTACTGGCCCAATAGTCAGGGATGATGGGAGCTGTAATCTAACAACAACTGATTTTTGTTAGATTATTCTAATGCATAACATGCACACAACAGAAGTGAGCAAAGCGCTCCATACCAAAGATTATTACAAGGCAAAGGTAAGGGCGTCACATGGAAAACAGGTTTCCAGGATGGCCAATGCCTATTATACTATGAACACCATAGCTGTGAAGGGGATATGCATGTTTGTAAATATGCAATGCATATGTAAATAAAATGAATAAAAATGGGCATTACCCAAGGTGTCTTGATTGGCCATGATTTCTCCTTTGTGTTAATGGCTGTGCATTTCCCATTCTCAAGTTATTGTGCTCCTGCCTTAGACACACTGAAAAACATGGTTGCTACAAAAAGCATTCAGTAAAGGAAGCCTAGAAGGCTCGGGCAAGCGATTTGTGCCACAAACCAGGAGGGGGAAAGGGAAAAGGCAGAAATCCATGTAGGTACCAATCAACCTGACTTGGTAGAAGATACCTTCACAAACCCTTGTGAGGGATCAAACCATTATCCTTGGACTACAAATCTGGATGAGCCTATGTTAAAATATATTGCAAGAACTAGAACCCCCAAAGTTCTTCATTGGTTCAGATTAAAATCCAAGCCAGAGAAGGCCTAAAAATGTCCCGTGTTCCTGCCTCCCATCCATCACTGCCCCTTCATTTCCATGCTTTTGTTTGTGTGTGTGCTTCAGCAGTCAGAGGGAGAGGACAGTTGGCATGCTGTGTGCCAGAAGCGAGAAGCACTGGAAAATGTAACTCCAGTAATCTATGCCAATAGTTCTGGGAAACTACATTTCCCAGTACACCTTGGGTCTAACACAGAACCATAGCAGCATGCAGACAGTAAAGAGGGAAGGGGAGGAAGAGACCCCTCTTCCTTTCCCTGCTGTTGGAGGAGCAGCAAAGACACATGCAGAGGAACAAGGGGCTTGAGAGGGCATAGACAGGTGAATGGGTATGGGTTGCCATTGTGAGGGTTTGGATAAATTTTTGGATCTTGTCATTTTTGGGCACAAGTGTGTCTGAAACAGGCTTGGAACTGAGTTCAACATCCCTCTTAACTATTTTCTGAATTAGGGGTGGGATAGTTCATTCCTGCTCCTCATTCCCTACCCAGCTCAATTCTAAACCTAACTGCAAAGTTCATTCATCACTACCAATGAGTGAGTGAGTGATTTTTTTATTTTTTTGTTATTAAGGAGAGAAAAGAAACTCACACCTTTTGGGGAGGGTTAATTATTTCCTGACCACATTTGACTGTTTCTGAAACCTAAGATGATGCTTCTCATTCAACACCCTTCATAAGTTTATCTGGCTCTCTTTTGACTAATGACATTACTCTTCCTGCTTCTAGAGATACAGTTTCAGAATTTCATTCCATACATCTTTGTCTCATTTGCAGCTTAAATATGCTTCTTGCGGAGAGAACAGATCCCTTTGCTATTTTTGCTCGTAGAATCCTAGGACTGGAAGGGGTCGTGTAGGCTGTCTTCTAATGTGGGGAGCCTGTGGCTTGCTCTCTGCTTAACTACAATTCCCATCATATCTAGCCATTGGCCATGGTTTTGGGGGCTGATGGGAGCTGCAGTTTAGCAGAATCCCCACACCTTACCTGATGCAGGAAATCTAAAATTACATCAAAATTAAACCCAAAATCCCAACAGTCCGCCGTTCAGCCTCTGCTTAGAACATGTCTAGGGAAGGAGGACCCAATCCCCACTGGACATGATTACCGTAGTTCCATTGCCAAAGTTCTCTTAGCACTGAGAAGATTCTCCTAATGTTCAACCAAAATCTACCACCCAGTAATTTACGTCCATTAGGTCTATTTCTGTCCTCTGGAATGCAGAGCTTTTGTGGTTCTTCAGCTTTAACAATTCTCTCTCCAATGTGATGTAGAATCAAATCCAAGATATCATGACCTCTTGGGGCTCTCCTCTAGAGGATTCTGTTTCTTGAAGCTTTTATTTGTTTGCCTGTCACATCTCTGGCATTGTTGCCAGGATCCACATCTTCCTGATGGGAAATTCAGTTGGCCTTGCACTGCTGTGAAGCCTTTGTCCTCTTGAAAAGCAGAACTGCTTTTTCTCTGCAACCGTTTCACCTGTACAGAAGATGCTGATCGATTTGGCCAGACTTAGCCACAAAACAACATGCCTCATAGTCTGGTGTCGCCAAGAGAAAGCACCATTGCTTAGCACATCATTTATTTGCTGCATTTCATGAGGGTCAGAACAGCTTCCCTTTTATCCATGCACTGCGTGTTGCATTTCTGCTGAGGACTCATTCAGTTGTGAGTCCACAGGGCAATTTTGCAGGAGGGCGTGTACATAACTAATGATTCTATCCCACCCTAGTCTCTTCCTATGCCTGACCTTCGCCATCACTGTTATCCGTGAAACTAACACAAGAAACGTAGTAAATAAGAGGCAGAGGGGAGGCAGGGCAGCAGGAGCTCCACATCATGGCTGATTAAAAAAACCCCCACCTAGTCTTCTGCACAAGGTATGGGCTCCTGCCCTAAAGACCACATTTGAAATACATCTTGGGCAGGAAGCTAAAAAGGCTGGATGCAATTGTTCAGGGATAATTTGAATCTGGGAAATCTTTATTCACAGTGTGTGTAGAGAGTGGGAAGAATCACAGAATGGTAGAGTTGGAAGGAATCCAAGGGTCATCTAGTCCAACCCCCTGCAATGCAGGAATCTCAGCCGAAGCATCCATGACAGATGACCATCCAACCTCTGCTTTTAAAAACCTCCAAGGAAGGAGAGTCCACCACCTCCCGAGGGAGACTGTTCCACTGTCGAACAGCTCTGACTGTCAGAAAGTTTTCTCCTTTCTTGTATCTTGAAGGCATTGGTTTGATGTGGGGCTCCAGATTCTGAACAGCTCATCTGGGTTCCAGTCCAGGTTGGAGACATCGGCCATTTGGTAGCTCATTAGGTGCCTTCCAGTTCCATGATTCTGTGCTTCCGGCCCCATTTTAAACCCTCAGAGGTCTTTGCTGCTGATTTATATGGCCATATTTCTTAGAAAGGTAAGTCCTCAGATATGTCTAAAATTGAGAGAGAGAGAGAATTGGCATACCACTATGCTGCTGATGGAGAAGCAGAAATGCATGTAGATCCCATGATAGTTTGATTGGAAGCAGACCTCAGGGGATAAACAGTGGCAATACAATGTCCACATATATACCGTGTGAGTCACATGTTCACAAGTGTGGTGCCTGAATGAACCAGAAATGTGAGTGAACGTTGGTGTGCCACACAAGGGTGCTGATAAGCGTTGGTCACGTCACACCATATCATTCTTTGCCATGTGCTCAAATGTGTATTTGGGTTTTAATGTGCCTCCGTAAGCTATGTGTCTGGATTGTGTGCCTTGCCTGGTTCTAGGGAACTGAACTCTTGAGGGGCTCTTGCTTTCCGTGCACCTGACCTAGCAGGGGCACTGAGATACCTACAGCTGGAGTAGAGGCTGGAATCCCGATCTGCCGCATCACCCCTTTGCTCTGTTGTGAAAGTCACATACTCTGGGCACCTGGGCTGTGGTTCCATAGAGCTTCCATTGATCAATTAATAAGTAGACATGTCACTTGGTCAGATAAGTTCGAGAGCACAACCTGAAGGAGTGACCAAGCCTTTTCTTGCTTCTTTGCTGCGTATCCAGATGGCAACAATCAGATAGGACACTGGTGCCCTCTGGAGGGGAAAAAGAAAGAATCAGCAGCCTATCATTGCAAGCTTCTGCACACCAGAATACAGTAGTGGACATGGGGAAACACTACTTTCCCATGCTAAGCACTGATGCCTGGATAGTCTCAGATCATCTGCTTGGAAATAGAGCACAGTTCATGCTCTTGATAAAACTGCTTCACTGTTCACTGGGTGCAAAATGGCTTTCCTCTGGATCTCTTTGGAGGCTTCACTTACCTGCTAAGTGGCTAAATATAGGGTGCCACCTGAGCCATCTGTCACAAAGGTTTGCTGTCCCAATGAGGTCTGCATAATTAGTTGCCATGGCCAGGTTTTCACCACCACCACCCCACCCCACCCAGCAATTTGGGGGTGGTGATGGTCATGGGAATTTGGGGCACTTTTTTACAAGGCTGACCCTGAGGGTATCAGGAATGGGAATCTAACCATGTTTTCGCCAGTGGTAATAGCTGTCTGAGAGGTGCCCATGAGGTCTCCTCATGAGATTGGAGACACGTGTGTGAACAGGAACACTTAACCACTGCTGCGCTCACTATGATCCTTCCTCTCTGCCCAGACATAAATGAGTGCACCTATGGTCTGCATAACTGCAGCCACGTCTGTGTCAACACACAGGGTGGGCATTCCTGCCAATGCCACCCTGGCTTCAAGACTGATCCCCAAGATGCCAACAAGTGCCTGGGTAAGTTTTTAAACTGTCTTTTATTAATATTTTAATCCTTTTTGTAAACCACTGCAAGCTTTTATTACAAACAAGTAGTATATACATTTTGGTGTGGGTTGGTGTGTGTGTGTTTTAAAAAATAGTAGCCAGTATCTGCTGAGCAGGCTAGCAGCTGTTGCTCCAAAAAGTCTGCAAGCAATGAGCCAGACCCCCAGACCTTCCATGGTGGCAGGCATTGCCGTAGCATGTCCCCTTCTAGGTCTCTCTGAGGTGTTCCATGGCACAAAACTGTGGAAGAGCTGGGTCAGCGACTACCTCTTGCAATAGGGAGTAGAGTAACCGTTTCCTGCTGGCATCATTTTTTCAGCTGCAAGGAGTAGGCTCCAAGGAGCTGGTTTTCCTTGCTGCTGGGCACTCCATTGAAATCCCCACTGGTATCTGCTCCTCCCGCTGGGTGAAATATGTCTCTTCCTTCTGTTTTTCAGATGTAAATGAGTGCAGAGAAAGGCCGGCCCTGTGTGATCACATCTGCCACAATGAGCCTGGCTCTTTCCATTGCCACTGCCAGCAAGGATTCTCCTTGGGGGCAGACAGGCGGCGCTGTGTGAAGAACTGATTCAGTGGCAATGGTGTTCCCCTGTGGGCGCTGCCAGCTGGAGTGCATGCCTGGCGTTAGTGGCTCATGCAATAGACAATGCCCAGCTTCCGTATGGCAAAAAGGACAACTTCTCTCTCCCTAGTTAGTGATTCCACCTCCTCCAGGCGAACCCACTAGGACCTGTTTGGAGAACCGAATCACCCTTTCCTTGCTTTTCTTGAATAATAATAAAGCTCTTTCCTGACTCTCGCAAAGAACTTCAGGGTTTATTTGCCCAGGTATTGCAATGCAACAAAGTTCAGAGAGTCCTGCTGTGGAGTCGTCTTTGTAAGCCTGAGGACCAGGCAAAGCATTCTTGAGTTCAGCCCCAAATGACTTCCTAATGTAACAAATGCTACCTAGAGCAGTGGTGGCGAATCTATGGCACATGCGCCAGAGGGGGCACTGAGAGCCCCCTCTGTGGGCATGTGTGCCGTCGCCCCAGCACAGAGCCGGCAGAAGGCAAGGGCAGCGCATAGAGTCCTCAGCTCAAATGGGGCAGCCGAGCCACCACCTTCTCCTGCCCAGTGCCAATGGGAGGTGCCGGGTGGGAGCCGGCAGGGGAGAATGGTATCGCTGGCAAGCCTCAAGAAGCCACTTTGTTCCAGTGCCTGGTAGCCAGGCAGGGCCGCCTCTGCCCCGTCCTCATCGCCCTTCACCCAGCACCAGGGCTCCAGGCCCCGCCAGTCTTTCCATGCCATGATCGCCTCCCACTTACTGGCATACTTCTTCACTGAGCTCAACCACAGCCAAGTGCAGTGGGTGAGGGCGCACCAGGGCCACACCAGACACCCTGCATAGGGGCCGGTCAGGGCTGGGCGAGGGAGCAGGGAAAACACTCTTGAATTTATTTTCTCTAAAAGCTGCTCCGGCTGCTGCAGAAACAAGTATTTTATCCTAACAGAGAAGATGAGTAGCTCATAGAGAAGACAAACAAAGTCTCATGGTGGTGATGTCAAAACATATTAACTACACTTACCTTCATGAAGGCAAACAACGGTGCTGAGAATGGGTAATTGTTGGGTTAATGTACAGCAAAAAGATCTATATGCATCTTCTCTTTCAATGCAAACGCTGAGAGAGCTTGCCTGGACTTCACACAAATTCCCCAGGTACAGTGCAATATGGTAACCAGGTACTTCTTTCTTCAGGGCTAAATAGGAGTCAGAGTAGTGACAGCTACTGCAGATTATGCACCAGTTCTGGTTAAATTGCCATGTTGGCACTTTGCGATAAATAAGTGGGTTTTGGGTTGCAGTTTGGGCACTCGGTCTCTAAAAGGTTCACCATCACTGAACTAGGGCTTTTGTGACAGGGCAGTCCTGCATAACACTGTGCAGAGTGTATGAGATGCCTTTCAGCAGTCAGAGCAGGTGGAATTTTATCGAGGGACCGTTTGGACAAAATTCCTATGTGACACTGACCTTGTGACAGGCTACTTATCACAATGTCACCATCATTCGCCTGGGAGACCAAGCTCAAGAAAACGATCTCCACTTGTTCCCTGGAAAACACATTTTTTAAAAGGTTGAGCTGGAAAGGAAATTGGCTCTTGAATGTTAGTGCTGTGCTTAAATCCCAGCTTTAAATGCTACAATCACTTTACTGCTTATTTTATAATCAGGCGAGTAATGACGCTTGAGCAACACACAACCAGGAAAAAATCTTCTCTTTGGTGAGGAGTCTCTCCTTGTTACTGATGGGAGCCAGAACTTCCAAGTCCTTTCTGGGCAGCTCTGACATATTTCTGTAGTGAACGAGTTAATCAATAGATAAGGCCAGAAGCAGGTGATTTGCAGGATCTACTGCAGAGCAATCTATATTTAAAAATGTATGTTTGCTTAAATATGGATATATTTATACGAATGCAGACAAGCCGAATGATCGCAAATGGAAAGGCACAACTTCTTGCTACAAACCCAGTCAGCGGTGGGTAGTTTATATAAGACGCTTTGATGTTCACATCATCTCATATGCAGAACAATTCCTTGGGTATTAAAAAAAAACCCACCTTTGTGCACTTTGTGACAGGTGAGTCTCCAGGGTGAATCCTTCAGGGAGTTATTATTGGGTAAACAAGCATCAGTTGCTGGGGAAGAGTCAGGGCCCTGGTTTGCAGCAGTGAATGGCAATGTTCCAAGCAGCCTAACAGTCTTCTTCATTTCCCACAATACCTTGCAGTGATGCTACACCAGTAACGCCACAGGAAATTGGAATGGTGGTTGCTTAGAGGATGGTGGGTGCATTTTATTTCTTCTAAGTGGAGCCCAGAACAGATGGCAGCAGTGGGTCCTGACAGGGCCCTAGGGTCCTGGAAGATGACCAAGGATGGTGAGTGCTGACACCAACCCTGCAGGGGCCAATAGCCCATTTTGGCTACTTGCCTGGTTTTGACCTGCTTCAGGCTGCTTGTCATTTTTACCAGCCCACAATCTCATCCCGCTACATCTCCCATGTTCATTTGGTTGATTGCCACTGTCTGCAGATTAAGATTCCAGCAGACCATGATATCAATGTCCCCACCCCACCCCCTTATCTTTCACCACCATGCAGCCCAGCTGCATGATTTATCACACCAGCAGTAACTAGGGGGATTGCGGTAGGAGTGGACCGAGGGTGGATAAGATGCGGGCGCTGAGCCCTGATGCGGGTGTGGTAGTGGAATAGTCCCTGCAGGGGGTGGCTCATCATGAACACAGCTGAGAAACAAATGGGAAACAGAGATCCCTATCAACAAGCCTTCACTAGCACAGAAACACTCCAATGAGTGAAAACTTATTGGACAGGCTCTGTGAAGGAGTGGGTTATGAAAGCAAGGGAGGTGGAGGACTCCCCACCTTCTGGCTACAGTGGGGCTCCTGTGTCCCCAGGTCACTGACAGTCAGAGGTGGCCTGCAGGGAGACAGGTTTGTCATTAGCTGCAACTGAGATGGTTTTGCCTTAGAAAGAGTGAAAACTGATAAGAATAATGTAATTATCTCAATTTATAGCTAATCTAGTACATTGGTATCAGAATCACTTCTGTCATTTCTCAGTCCTCTAGGCTCCCACCACAATTTTCCTACTTATTGCAGATGTTGGCTCTGTGAGATAGATATATGGAACTGATTGTCAAGAGGCTTAAGGCTGGCAGTGAATCATCATGGAAGGTTAAGATAGTATTGCTAGATCTCCAGACCCCTATGCAGAAATTGTCACGGTGTCTGGAATGTTCAGTGATTATCGCACAAATAATTTGTGTTTGCTAATAGCAAAATCCATAATCCAGTTAAGCTCAAACACTTGGATCTAAACTGCTTTTAGTCACCATATGAAATCTATGCCAGCCAACTGAGCTGAGTAGGCTATGGAATAGGCAGCCTAGTCCACACCTCAGATCAGATTCAAGATGCTAATACCGTTTCAGTGATGTCACATGATCTTACATCTCTAATTTAGCATTTTACAATCATCCTGAACATCAAATCCTGCACTGTGTTTACAAAATGACAGGGCCATTTGTTATCTTATGTCAGCCCAAGCTTCCCAACTCATCTGTCACATCCCCCCCCCTTTGACATGATTTGCTGGAGGGTGTAATGTATATTCAGAAATGTTTGGATTACGTCATAGTCAAGTGCATCAAAATTAGACTCTGTGGTGCCACATTCATTCCTTTTCCCTAAAGATCTAGGGGTACATGACTCCCATAATTCCCTGCTTCTTCCACAAACAACTCTGCAGCTAACACACACAGAGGCCAGCAATTGAGGGACGTGATGGTTCCCAGGCCTGTCCACCTCTTATTGTGTTGGATTCCCAGGCAATGGACCTTCATACCCACCTAATATCTGCCATCTTCTTCACTGTAGAATATTCCTCATCTAGGCATGCTTTGGACTGCAGAATACTTTCCCCCAGCTGATGGCACTAAACACCACAGCATTAGCTCTGAAGACCTATGGGGAGGGGGAATAAAAATACAGAAGCTAAAGCCTCAAAGAATCAAGGACCATGGAGTTGGAAGGGACCCTGAGGGTTCAACTCCCTGCGATGCAGGAATATCTACTAAGGCATCCATGACAGATGACCACCCAACATCTGCTTAAAAATCTGCAAGGAAGGAGAGTCTATCACTTTCCAGAGAGTTCATTCCACGCATAAAGACAGAGTCTAGCAGAAACTCCTGGCTAAGTTAGCAGGACTATACACAACCCCTTTGAGGCACCTGCCTGTGTTTGGTCACTTCTTTCAGATTCATACAAGCAATGTCAGATGCCATTTTTTACACAAGCACACTCCAATGAGCTGTTACTGAATGGTGCTCCTTACCCTAGACACCAGCCTCTGCTGCATGTGGAACTGCTTCATCAGCCTGGTCCCCAGGTACATTGGTAGCTGCAGAAGAGCAGATCAGGCTATTGGGCTATCTAAATCAGGTTTGGTCTTTCTAGGAGATAGAAAAGGATGATACCTTCTGTGGAAGTCGATGGGAAATAAGGAAATAAAGCTGATGTGGAAGATAGGTAAAACAAGGCGATAGCAAGCACAACTCTCACTGACACAAGAGTCAGTAAAACTAAAGAGTACCCATTTCCCAGAGGCAAAGGGTCTTGACCTTTCCGGCAGCTCATTTGTGTGATCTTCAGATGGATGGAAGAGATTCATAGGATGGATTCACACTTCCTTATATATCATTTGATAGTTCATCACTCACTGATATTACTTCATGTCTCTCAGATAAATGTGTGAAAAATATTGTGCCCTGGGTTATATTAGGTAGTTTGACTGTTCTGTCTGCTGTGGTTGATCTGTGATGACTGTTTCACCCATGGAAGTCATCACTTGATGTTACGTTCATCAAGGGATGAGTGGGCCTTTAATAGAACCACATTTTAAAAACACAACACAAAATAGTTATCCATTCATACTGTTCTGAACACAAATACAGCCTGTCGTAGTTTATACAGTTGATATGGATTTACAGCATTTATTGTGCAGTGTTTATTGCTGTGTTGGTCCTACAGAAATAGAGGCACAGAATCAATAAGTCCTTTTACTGGACCAGCAAGCAGTGTCATGATGAATCACTGATCAAACAATAAAGGATATTGTTGCACCATATTCCAAGGATCATAGAATTGTAGAGTTGAAAGGGACCACAAGAGACGTATAGTCCAATCACCTGCAATGCAGGAATCTTGTGCCCAACATGGGGTTTGAACCCACGACTCTGGGATCAAGAGTCTCTATTCTATTATGCCTTCTAATTGCTTGTGTAAACATGGTCCAACATGGTGGAAAAGAGAGTCATCCATAGACTGGGCATTCAAAAGTAGAAATCTGTGGTTCTACATTATTGCTATTACTGTTATTTAAAATAATGTAAGGTTTTCCATGGAGACAATCCATGGTTATGGCAAGGACTTGGTGTACTGAATAAATAAATATTTTTAGTGCCAATGCCGAAATCTGCAATCTATATAAATTATGCAAGTTGGGGGAATGTGTACACTTCTCTTATTTTGCATAATTCATTCTTCAATTATTTATATTTTGCATAATTTATTCTGCCTTTGCTAGTCATGGGAAGGGCATAGAACACGGAAGACTTGTTCTTCTTCTGCTGCTAAACTTATACAGCTACCTTTCCAGGTCCTGAGATTTCAGCAGATATTGCCCACGTTGCTTTTCAGCACACCTTCACAGCCAAAAGGGCTAGAGGCTTCATTTTTCAAAAACCACAATAGCTGAGATTAACATGAAACATCCTGTTCTCAGTACAGAATTCTGTGCTCTTTTGGAATTTTATATATATATATACTGTATAGCCCTGGTTATGCCTCTTAAAATCCTTCACCACGTGAGGGTGCTGTGATACAAACATGAATTTCAGAAGACCTGCAGGGCTTTGCAACCTCATGGTTATAATATTTCAAGTAAAAATAAATAAATGAATTCACACATAGGTTTTCTCTGAATCGCTGCAATCCATGCCACAGTATTGGCCCCAGTCCCCATACCCCTGCATGCTACAGTTGGCCATGAATGAGCATCCCTATGCACACATTCTCTGTGGTCAATGCTCCTAGATTTAATAATGCCAACTATCAGCTTTTGGGGGTGGAGGCAGAGCAAAGGGAAAGCTTGGATTAAGAATTTTGGCTCCCAGGCAAGTAGATCATTGGCCATGCTGATCACCTGTCAGGGAAGTCTTGCACAAACTTGATCAAGCAAGAGCCACCAGGGACTAGAGATGCTGGTGAAGTTCTCGTGAGCCATATCAGGCTCAGAAATGAACTCTGGGGGCTCATAAAGCTCACTTTAAATGAGAGGTGAGTGTTACAAGCCCCCAAACTCTTATCTGGCTTAGTTCACATGCTTTTCTGATATGTATTATTACACTGCTGTAAGTTCTGAATAACTGAGATCTTGGTGAAGGCACAGAGATGCTGGGGCCTAGCACAGCAGAAGATCTGCATCAGTTTTCCCCAACCTAGTGCCCTCAAGATGTGGCACTATAACTCCTATCATTCCTGACCATTGGTCATGCTGGCTAGGGCTGGATGGGAGTTGTAGTCCAGCAAGCAGCAGGCAGGGAAGGCCGGCCTACATAAGCCTTGACACCAAATGATCCATGGAAGGCAAGTGAGGGCAATGCTAGGTTCACGCTCCCGATCGACTGCCACTCCCAGGCCACCTAATACCAACTAGCCTGTGGAAAAGAGACTTAAGGCAGTTGTTGGAATTCTATGTGGTTAAAGCTGCCCATTAAATCAGCATCATCTAGTATGAGAGAACCAGCATGAAAAGGTGTGCAGAAATGGTATGAGACTGTTTCAAACGAATATATCTAATAGTCAAGGAGGAAGGTGGGAGCAGATAAACAATAACTCACAAGGCATCCATGAAGTTAACTCTTTATTCAAAGAAGCAAACAGCTCAGGAAGACAGGCCCAGTGAGCACAGAAACTCTTTCCAGCAGATCTTGCCCCATTGAGGCAGTTGCAAGGACTGAACGCTCCCACTTCCCCACAACTCCCTAAGTCTCCTTCCCATGCAACCTGAGACTTCTTTGCCGTGTCTGTCTATGCTCCTTTTCATACCTCCATGGGTTCTGGGAGACCAGGAGGGAGAGGAAGACTCCCTGGCTTCATTCAGCAGCCTGCCTGATCTCTGCCTCTTGGCTCCCCTCCTCTCCAGCCTCTGCCTCTGCCTGATTCTGGGCTGCTCTCTGCCACAGCCTCCTCCTGCTCACTAAAGCCTCTGACCCTTTCAGCTTCCGACATCTCCTCCCTTCAGTCTGTTCCCCTTTCTCCCTCTGACCACTCATTGTCATCCCACCACCAGTCCCCTGGCTTTGAGCCTTCTTCCCCTGGTGGTTCCCTTGGGAGTTCCTCAGCTGGTGCCTCCCACTACTCCTCTGCCTCCAGCCAGTCCATGATACTAGTTTGAAACTATGTTAGAGAGGATATAAGGAACCAATGTCATTCCAGCATATGTGCTAGACTTGTGAAAAAGTGTCACAGTTTTGGACTGTGGTCTTTGCAGAAATTCCTGAAATGACTGGACAGTAAGTGAGGAAATCTCCAGAATTGTTCCTGTTAAACTTTTTTTTTCTATTCAAAACAACAGTGGAGATGGCCATTCCAAACCTCTAATTGGATAGATTCTCGCTGCTGCGTGGCAAGTTGTTGCTCAATGGGCCGAAAGAGTGCCTCGGTAGCTAATTGGTATAAGATGGGCTGGCAAGTCACTTGGGTGGATAAATTAATGAATAATCTAAAGAAGTATAAAGATTCTTTTGCAGCAGATTGGCACTGTTCTATTGCTTATACAAGCAAAGATGAAATGCAAAGAAATATCCCAGAAGTATACAAAGTTTTCTGGCTGTTTTGAACATTGTGGGTTTCTAATTTTGATACTTCCTGATGGGCTATGCTGACAGAAACTCTAAAGACCTGCTGCCAGCCAGTGTGGACAATAGTGAGCTACATGGACCAGTGGTTTGGCTTAATATAAGGCAGATTCCAATGTTCCTAAAGGGGAGATTTGTTTGGGGGGGAAGGAGGCTGGTGGAGGACAGTTTCTGGGGAGGTGAACAAATACTATTTTCTGAGTCCTCTGGTTTGTTTTTTGGGGGAAATGTCTGAGGTCTTCTGTTATGTACTGAGTTGAATAGGATCCAAAATGCAGCAGTCTGATTGGTCCTAGAACAATAGGATTCAGAATGCAACAGTCTGATTGGTCCTAGAACAATGCAGCAGTATGATTGGTTGGCAGGAACCACCCAATCCTGCTCCAGATAGAAGTGAATCCACAACCTGATTGGCTTACAGTAGAATTTCGGAATTAGCCAATCATGTGCAGCCCATTGTGTAAATAATGTATATAAAGCAGATACTGTGAGGGGACATTCATTCATTCCTCCTCACCACTATGAGCTGAATAAAGAGCATGAAATCACTTTGCGACTCTGAGTATATTTCACTTCTGTTCACATTTTTTTTAATTCACAGAAGTTATAGGATAATTCCCTCATTCATCCAAACTAACTTTGGTTAACATGGTCATCTCCCTCAAGGGCAAAGCTCTGAGTGCTGGAAGGGTACAGGGCCTTTTACACAAACCCAACTCTGTTTCTTTGCATAGGTCACATCGGTGAGACAATCTGCATGTGAAAACCTGTCTCTCTTGAAGCTCATTTGCTAGCTTTAGACTTAGAGCAATTGCCTGCAGACCTACCTCTGTATGAGTACCACCAAGCCAGGCAGCAGGTCAGCTGAACATCAGCTCCATTGATATCTTCAAACGAAACAGGTGAATCTGCATAGTGCATACGAAACCAGCAAAACCTCTGGTGCAATCATGATTCCAGCATCTGTCTTGTTTGTTTCAAGAGCAGTGTTAGCACCAGTTAAATGTTAAATGCATACTTCAACCACGCATCAGTGGCTCTAGAATCAAGCATATGAATAAAGGTCCAATTAAAGCAGAACAGGGTCCCAAAAGTGTAAGCCTACTGATAGTTCTCGATCATCCAGGCAATGCATACTATACTTTTATATTTTAATTCATGGGAACCATTGCTACTAATGGGTTATGCAGCCTTAAGACAACAGCATGGGTGGCTGTGAATGAAATATATGTGCGGGAGCCAGGTCAATTATTTATTAAGAGAACGGATAGGCAGAAAGCAACACTGGTAGATTCTCACTTCTAGTTTATTGTCAGAAGTTTTCATGTAGAGTCAGAGGGATACAACTATGACCAGATCCATGAGTCCAATATATGGCATGGGGAGCAGCTTCTCAGGGCATCTGGGTACAGGGGGAAACCCTCCCAGGGTCCCATTGGCTTAACCTCTATGCATTTGTGATGCCCTCTGCAGCTCTCCCATTTCCCTGCAGCACAGTCAGGGTCTGGTCACTCTCCAAACACATTCATTCCCCACCATCAAAAAGGAGGAAATCCCATTCTGAAATCAAGAAGTTTGGAGCATTAACGAAGTAGTGGAGTGACTGCTGAGTTTGCCCAGGCCAAGCATCCAAAACAGTGTCTACCCTCCAACAATCTCCCCCTCCACAGCTGGGTGCAAACAAAGTCTTATACTGAGTGACCCCCACAAGGACATCTAGCTGTGCGTGGGACATGTGGTGTGTGAGAAGCTGGAAGCATTTTTGGAGCTGCTGTCCATTGCCAGAAGTGGTGGCAGGCTTCACCCATGGTTTGGACACCTGTTCATTGGGCGGCCCAGTCCACTGACCCAGTGGCTCAGTCGTCTCCCTCTTGCCTTCCCATCTCGTTTCACAGAGTGGCACTGGGGACTCAGAGAAGAGGTACCGAAGCTCCAGAACCAAGAGGGTCTCAGACATACATATGTGGGGCCCAGGTAGCTATTTACAGGAAGGAGGGAGAGGGAACATGCAGCAAGGAGACAACTTGTGCATGCAAGTGATAAGGTGATGCTGCAAAACACCTGTGCACTAGGGAAGTGGGTCAAATATTGCAGGGTTCCATACCCACCTCGGAGTTTTCATCCTCCTTCCTCTTTCTTCTGTTTGCCAAATGTGGTGTAAGGGTGAAGGGAGGGGTGGAGCTTTGGTAGCCAGGGCTATATTAAATATTTACATACATAATCCCAAAGATGCTTATTGGACTGGGAGGAGCTGAGGAATTGAGGAGCCAGAGGCCTCTCCACTAAAGCACCTCCAACATCTCCCATCTTCTGATGCTCTCCATGATCCCTGGTTGAACTGGAAAACCTGTTGCACCTGGTCAGAGGTGGCAAGGTGCAGTCTTTCAACTTTGGAAGACGATATAGTTCTTGACAGGATCCGTGCTGCTATCCCACCAGCGGGGGACAGTGCTGCTGCCTCACCTCCTCCTGTGGCTCCTTACAATACCCCTGTCTCTCTGTTACCTCAGAAGGATCCAGAGCTTGAGGCATGTGCCCTAGTACAGAGTCCATCCTGGAATCTGTGAGAGGGCACATCTCTGCCAGTACGGCACCCTGCAGGAGGGAGGGGAGGGTGGGCAAAGCACTTGCAGGGGCCCCATCACAGCGCTGTGGACGTTGGATGCTCAGACCATGCCTAAAGTGCCAGGAGAATGGCATGCACAGCAGCAAGCAAAAGACAGGAACTAGGATGGGGGGTCAGTGCCAATGCAGGAGGGGAGAGGACAGTGGTGCTCAGGGAAAGGCTTGTCACAGGGTCCCAAAATCACCAGTTCCCTCACCCACACCCCACCCCATCTCACCATGCTGGGCTGATCTTTACTGGTCATTTGACCTTGAGCTAGAGGGTGCATTCAGACGGGGTATTTGTGTACCTGCAGCTTGTGAGGACAGGACTTGGACAATGACACATTTGGACATCCCAGGGAGGGGGTGGGCAGGAGTGTCCCCAGGAGCCCGCAGGAAGTGTCAAGTAGTTCAGGTTACCCAGGTTTTGAGCCATGGGGAGACTGGGCTCATTTGGGGCTGAGGCCAAGCATCCTCTTTAGAAGAACTTTGCCCCCCGCTGGTTGTCACAAGCCCCTCCCCAGGGGTGTCACAACCCTCCTTGCTGGCACCCCAACCCCCCTGGGGCTGCTCAGAAGCGGGTGCTCTGGTAGCGCAGTCTGCGGATCTCGGAGACACCGTCGTCCCGGCAGTACAAATCCCTGCCGGGACTCTGTGCCAGTCACCGGCCCCCGGCTCCCCCACCCCCGCCGCCAGCACTGCTGTTGCTGCTGCTTGAGCTGCCAGAGCTGGAACTGCTGCAACGATCCTCATAGATGGAGATCTCGATCTGTGGGCAAGAGGATAAGGAGGATACAGGGAACAAGGAGAGCTGATAGCCTTGTGCACCCCTGTTCAGCAGCCACAAATGCACATAGAGCTTGACAATGCTGTAGGACAGGGTGGGGAACCTCCAGCCCAGGGGCCAACTGTGTCCCTCCAGATCTCGCCATCCAGCCTTTAGGAAACTCCCTAGGCCATGCCCCTCCTGGGACAATCTTGCTGTATGCCCACCTTGAGTTCTTCTGCCTGGCTGGACAGATGTGTGTATATAAACTTCTGATTTATGCTGGGAGAGTCCCATCTGATCTTTCACCCAGCTTTGCCTCTGGCATCACCCACCACTAGCAAGTAGCCCTTGGGAGGTTCCCCATGAGGAAACGAGGCCTCAGACTGAAGAAGTTTCCTCACCCCTGTTGTAAGACTTCAGCTTATCTGGTAAGAGCAAGTTTCTGACTGTTCCAACCTCAGACAGTTTGGCATGTGCAGCTGAAATATGAAATGACAGCGCACCTTTCAGGCAGTTGCTCTGTCTCAAATACATGTTGTTGTGGTTCCACAAGTCAACCATGCACTGGGTAAAAATATGCCTCATCTGTTTTTCTCTGACATCAGGTGCCTTCTTCTGCAAAAGGGGTTGGCATCCTGTGTTGTTGGAGCATCTTCTCACTTCCACTTATCCCTCACCTAGAAAGAACAGGTCCCAGAGGTTTTCTGTTTGCCCCACCTCTTTTCCCAGGAAAACCCACTCTTTACCGCTGAATTGGAGCAAGTGTCAGTCCATAGAAAACCCAATTGACATTTGCTCCGATTCAGCGGTAAAGAGCTGCATTACCCCAGGGAAAGTGGCATGACAAGCAGAAGTGTGGACGTGCCCTTAATCTGTGGCTTCCATGCCATAATCCCAGACTACTGGCCAACCAAGTTGGTTGGCGCTGATGGGAGCTGGAACCTAAGAACATCTGTGGGGTGACAGGTTTTCCATTCCTGCTGTATGATATCACACAGAAGGTGAAAGAAGGTTGCTCCATAGTCATAGTTTCATATCTGTCTACTTCCACTCCTCAACCACCACTTATCTAAGCCACATAGTTGAAAGCGTGCAATGCTTTATTAACTTGAGAGTAAGTATTACTGAACTAAGTGAAACTTATGTTTGAGAGAGGAAGCAGGCACATGATAAGACAGTTAATCTTTCCCTACACAAATAGTAGTCGTTGCCCCATGAATGTATTGCATGCTCACTCTTGCAGGGACAGCCCTAAAGTTATATGCTACTGCCTTCCATTATGAGATGTTCTTTGTAACTAAAAACTTGCACCTGAGTTTGCTTTTACCTCTTCCCTCCCAAATCTCTCATTTTGTGCTGTGTCCACTAGATTGTGAGCCCGAGGGCAGGGACTGTTTTATTTCTGGTCTTTGCGAGCCTTTTTCATCTGAAGAGCAAAGTTTTAAAGCTCTAAACAAACACATCCCAAGCACATCCTTTATAATCCCTACGGTGTTTTGCTGGTGTTTTTGAAGGCTAAAATACATTTTGCTGACGAGTTCAGGAAACTGAGTCCTGGCAGCACTAGAGGCAGCAGGAATGCTTGGTGGGTTGGAGGGAACACATGGGCCTTTCAGTACCCACTTCTTCTTGGCCACCACATCCCTTCAAGGGAGCAGAGCCAGAAGCCGCAATAGCTGGATACAACCTCTGGTGAAGGAGCTTGCCTCCACAAAGACCAAAAACCTCTGGCTGCTAAGCATAGGCCTGGTAGCCCCTTTGGGAGCAAGGGTCGTTTCCTGTGGCACTGTGGTGAACCTGGGGAGGCAGCAACACCAGCAAAGGGAATTCGGGGGTTACTTTAGACATCACTGTCCACACACTGTGCCTCAAACCAGCTGATCCCATCTGCTGAGAGCAGCAGAAAAGTGAGCAGCAGTTAGGAAGGGTCATAGCTCAGTGGTACTGAGCAAGATGGGACAATGGTCTGACTCCATATAAGGCAGTTTCCTATGTTCCTGAAAACTTCAGCCTTATATTGCCCCATTTCCCCAAACTCTTGTCAAGGGAGCAGAGTCACACAATGCTATTGTTTGAAATATCACTGATAGCACTTGGGACTCCAGATTTGTTGCTGTGTGGAGTAATATCATCTGCCTGTAGATCTGATTTTATTTTTGTGAACTGCTTTGAGCCACTGTGGTTAGAAAGCAGTAAACAAACACTGTAAAATAAGTAAGTAGACTAAGTAGCACGATCCCACAACTTCTTTTTTGAGCTTGAATGCTGAATTTGGAGCAGAGAATCTCAGCTGGGACACAGGAAATGGTCGTGGGTGTGTGTATGTGTGCGTGTGTGTGTGTGTGTGTGTGTGTGTTGCTGAGAGTCATCCACATGGGTAAGAAGAGCGATCTATATGGTGACCATATCTTCCCCTTTCCCCTTTGGTGCTAACCAGGAAGGATACAACTCGCATGCCCCGTTCCACTGGGTCTGTCAGCAACAGCCCTCGAGGAGCATAGATTTTCTCATTCTGCTCTTGGATGTACTTGGAGATCTTCTTCAGAACCTGGTGAGATAATTGGACAAGCGTTCAGCAACTATTTGGCGAAGATGTAGCCCCAGAGAATGAGACACAAAATATAGGGAAGATGATCCATTTACTGGGATCCTCTGAAGTTCTTGGATTCACCTACTTCAAGAAGGAAAAGGTGTTTCATGAAACCGCAACAGATGAAGCACCTCAATAACAGAAGCTGGTGTTGACCTAGATATCCCATTCCCAGTTTCAGTAATCTCTGATTGATAACCATCAATCTTTGAAAGTTTCCCAAGACAAGTCACTCTATTGCCTAACTGTGCTCCTACACAGAGCATGTTGCTCTACTATCTGCCTGAGAACATTTTTTGTAAGTGAAACCAAAAGAATTATTTTAGCCTCTCTCCTACGCTATTTATGTGCCCCTGTGAATGACTGCATTGCATCTTGAATGCATGGGAGCCCAATCTAAATTAGCTGGAGACTTCACAGAAAGGTAGAGCTACATTCAGATGAAATGTATAAAACCTGAAGGGAGAGTTGTTAAGTGTACCAGAATGCTCTGCTATTTTGAATATTTTCCCAACCCTGGAAAATAGTGAGTTGTCAAGTCTGACATTTTGAGCAAAACCTGTGACAAAGAAAGCATTCCCTACAGCTTGAAACAGGCTGTCAGTTTAAATCATGTGCCTTTCCCTTTTAATCCTGCTCATTATTCCCTCTGTTTCTTATGTTCAGACATCAGTACCACTGCTTCTGAAGCTAAGACAGCTATGGGCAAGAGGGAAGTATCAACAGGTTTCAGGAAACTCTAACTTTTGCAGAAGTATAAAGAATCTTTAGGGGGGGAATTATGGGGAACCCCAAAAAGAACATGTTCAGTGCCCATGGAATACTATTGCAGCATGTGGGTGGGGGGAGGAAAACTGATTGGGTGGAAAATGTAATGGAGTATCCCTGGGAGGGTACTGAACAGACTGTCACTATATCGCAGGAAGAATTTAATTGCATACCAGAAATTTTGGTTGTCACAGTTAAAGTGCTGTGGCACAACAAATCTACTTTAAAAAAAGTTCCAGACTTTTTGCAGGAAGGAAAGTGATGAGGAAGTTCACTAAAAAATGTGTGATGATGGTCAGTTGACAGGAAGTCATATAACCTCCCCACAAACAATTCAGGAGGAATGCTCAATAAAGAGAGGATACTGTAAAATCGCCCTGAAAACTTTGTGCTAGTAAACTGGGATGAGTGCTCAATAAACAGGTCACCTGGAGGAGCCCAAGAACATTCCACACTGCAACATTTTGCTGTAGGTCTCCCTGATTCTATTCTAACTGAGCTCTTTACTAGGCAAGGATATTCAAGGTCCTGCCTACCTGCTGTTAGAGATAAGCAAATTTCAGATGCAACCAGGAAGGGTGGGGGGACTCTAAAGAACAAAACCAAAGAATGAGGATGTGTCCACACTGGGCTTCTCTCTCCACTCTTGAAACTCTAGGTGTTCATTATGTGCAAGTAATCCTTAGGTCCATATGCATGAGCCAAGTGTTCACTGGATTCCTGCCATCAGCATATCAGACAAAGCTAAACACTCTGCCAGTGCGACCTCATTGTCTACATGATCCTGCGTTGTGTGGCTTCAGGATTCAGATCACATACTATCACAATTAAGTAAATAAAAGCAAGTATATAAATAAAAACATCAACTTGGCATTCTAATTTCTGGGTGCTTCAGCACCATATGCACCGATGCATAGTGTCAGTTTGCTACAGCTTTGCTACAATAGTTGTGATCACAACATTTCTGGATGGTAACCCTTTATATCCTATTTAGTTCAGTCCTAACCACAATGATGTGGCGCTGTGGGTTAAACCACAGAGCCTAGGACTTTCCAATCAGAAGGTTGGCAGTTCGAATCCCCGCAACGGAGTGAGCTCCCATTGCTCAGTCCCTGCTCCTGCCAACCTAGCAGTTCGAAAGCACGTCAAAGTGCAAGTAGATAAATAGGTACCGCTCCGGTGGGAAGGTAAACGGCGTTTCCGTGCTCTGCTCTGGTTTGCCAGAAGCAGCTTAGTCATGCTGGCCACATGACCCGGAAGCTGTATGCCGGCTCCCTCGGCCAATAAAGCGAGATGAGCGCCGCAACCCCAGAGTCGGCCACGACTGGACCTAATGGTCAGGGGTCCCTTTACCTTTACCTTTAACCCCAATGATTCACAAATTGAGATTATTGGCACAAGAAGAGGTTGGACAGGATATTGTTAAATATGGGAGAAACAAGGAATCTACATCTTATGAACGTGGATAATCAGGTGGTTCATCTAACTTACACACTCCATATTGACCAATCAATATTATTTAACAACAACGCCAATTGTTATATCACACCACAATGCATGTTGTGGCTCCAAACCTTCTCATAGCGGGTCTCCATGCAGAGAAAGATGAAGTAGGCTGTGGCACAGGCCAGGCATCCCTCCAGGTAGGAGCTGCCCCCTATTTTCTCAGCCTCTGCATAGAAGTTGTTGAGGGTCTTCACAGTTTCTTCAAAAAGTTGCCGCTCGATCTTTGGTGAGGAGAAAATAAGAGAAAGAATGCCATAAGATGTATGCACAGGAGGCCATTCCATTGTTTATGGCACCCATCTTTCACCCAGTGCAAAATAATAGATGCTATCAGAGAAGGGAGCATTGGAACAAGAGCAGGTGCACTGTGGAATGGAAGTGTGTGTGTTCAGATCTTTGAGCAAGATGGTCTGCTATGCATTTTGTATATGATCACAACAGCTAACAAGTTAGAATAAATCATAAAAGGAAATGAGGCATACCCCAGGTGTTTAAGAAGGCAGGAAACCACTCTGTGCAGCTTAAGATTTCTAGAGCATCTGAAACATCATTGGTGCACTAACACTTTGCTCTCACTGGCATCCAGACTACAATGCCTTCGTCTGACATAAGGATTTGTCACCTACTTCACCAGTCAGCATGAACCCTGTGAGAAAACTGGCTGTACCCGGCTGTCCAGCTCTGGAGGGAATTTGGTCTGGAACTGGCAGATAGTCCCGTCACTGTAGTCCCGCTGAACAAAGACCTTGGTGGCCAGGGAAGCACTCCGCCGTAGTTCTTGGAGATTGTGGACCTGGAAGAGCAGAGGCAGGTGGTTACAACAGGCAAAGGTGCCTTCTAGAACAGTGGGGGAAGCTCACAGCATACCCTGATGCCATGCATCTATGGCAGGAATTTGTGGCCCTCCAAATATTGCTGGATTACAACTCTCTTTATCCATTGTTCATGCTAGCAGGGGTTGGTGGAAGATGGAGCCCAACACCACCTGGAGGGCTGCAGGTTCTTCACCCCTGCTCTAAAGAGTCCCTGAATCTACATTGACTTGGATACAAAAAATTTTTTTAAAAAAAGTTATGATTATGGGGTACTGTTATTGGGTTGTAGTCAATGCTGCTCTTCTCATGCAACTGATTTCTGCTTGTGCGATGGAAATATCCCCTTCTCTCATCTCCCCCTCAGCCATCCCCACAAACACTCTGGAGTAGATTTTGAGGGTGCAGGGGGAGAGGAGAGGAAGGTGAGTTACTTTGCACAAATGGAACATGGCTTGCACAGGTTTGGATGCCACCCATTGTTTTTTTTGATGATGTGTCACTCCTCATTGAGAGCACCATCTCAGAAGAGGCATTCCCTCCCTCCTTGTGTGAGCAAGAAGCAAGAATGACTCTTCTAAGATCTGCTACTTAATTGAAGGGCATCTCTTTAGTTGACCAGAAGGCCATTCAACAGCTGTTTAACCAATTCAGCATTGCAATCCTACCCAAAACTGATTGAAAATACGGTATGTTCTATGAGACTATAGTTCACAACACTGGTAAGCCCTGCTGCAGTGGATTATAACACAGTTCCTTATCTCTTCAGCATCACCTTAGAATACTGGTAAGGATTTTAGATTTGGAAATGCAGTTTGAAGGTTAGACACGGAGTAAATTCATACATCCATATTCATTAGCTAGTAACTTAGATGTATAAAACAGTCGTCGTAGATCAAACATCATGAAGCTTTTCTATCACAACAGATAGTGATTTCCGACTGAGGCAGTGCACATTATTGGCTGAGAACTGTGCAACATCCATGTGTGAATCAGCCCTCCTATTGCATTTTATGGGCTATCCCTATATACAAGCAACATGTGCCTGCTGCTGTTGGAGCAAGAGGACTATCAATGGAACTTGGCAAGATGCTTTGTAGTAAGAAATGGAGCAGGTTCCCAAGACCATCAATGACTGGAAAACCTGAAACTCTGGGGTTATATATCTTACAAAGAGTGGAGCTGGCAGGAACATATAGAAATGATCACAGGATGACCTCAATTGAAGGGACACACCTAACAAAGCAAGAACAAGTTCTTCCAGAATAAACCACAGAGGTTTTTTTTGCTCCCCAAACACTCTTTCTTCCCCTGGTTGCCAGCCAACTCTGAGACTGGATTGAGCCGAATGTACAGACTCATCCCACCTCCAGTTTGAATCCCAGCCAGCCAAAGACACAGATAAAAAGTAAGAGCAGCAGATCATGCATGGTAAAAAGGTAAGAGCCTCAAGCTGATATGGAGTCTAGCCTTTGCATCTGTCTCCTTATTTAACATAGGCTCAAGAACTACAACCCCAAAGCAAGATCCTCCATAAACACTGCAGACATCTGTCACATAACTTTAGGGAGTAAAAGTGTGTATCCTTCCTGAGGCTAACCCATTATAAACATTTTTGTTAAACACTCTGAGTTGTTCCAGCCGCCCCTAGATTTGTGACTATATGAATATAACTTCATAAACTGCCAGCTTGTAGCTGAATATCCCTTGGCAATTCTAATGGGCGTTTCCTTTCTGGTCCTATTTCATCCAGAAGGGGTGGGGTGGGGTGTACACACACACACAACTGAGCAGTGTGCCTCAATGACTGGAGCATTAGACTCGGTGTGGGTAATCCTGGGCTCACGACCCATTTCTGCCCTACCATATTGTGTCACAGTAATAATTAAACTGCATAAGACGCATGAAACAATACATTGAGTCACTTGTTCCTTACAATTATGCTCAGCATCTTCGTCTTTGTCATGCCATATTACTTTTTGTGTTCTCTTGACACTTTCATTTCCTAAACCCAGATTATCTAAGCCTTTAAAAACCTCATGCAGTTTCCTTCTTTATGAAGTATCCAAACAGTTCTGAAAAATTACTGGTATAACCAGACACTTTTCTTTATTCTTTCAAAGTGTTCTGGTTCCATTTGGAGTAAGGTCCACTGTGTTTGACCCATGCAATGATGTATCGTATATGTGAGTGTGAACTAAACTGTGGGTAACCAAAATAAATTTTAAAAATCCTATTAATTCTGTATTTCCAGCTATACTTATAATTTGTTCTGCAGCAGAACTAAATTGCTTTTGAAGGAGATTGCCTTTTCTCCAGAAGCTTCCCAAGCCCTTCATACAGACTCTCAAAGACACAGTTAATCAGACAGAGAGGGATAAATAAGCAAGCTTAAAGAAATGGAGATGTACAAAATTTGTGTCAGAAGAAAATAAGCTTGGCACTACCTATATTTTCTGCATTGTACTGCATTATTTTTCCATCTTTTTGAAACACACACACACACACACACACACACACACACCAATTCTGTAAAAGCCCATTCTCTCTGTATTGCCTTTAATACCATTAAGGTTTCTCCTGTGTTATAGAGCAGAGGACATGGATAAAACCAGAGGATTTTCAATAACCAAATTATATCTGCAAGAACTGAAATCACAAAAACAATTTGGAAGAATAACTTAAAGCTAGGAAAGAGTTATGAATGCATGGAATATCTATTACTTGATAAAGTTAATACATGTTGTTTGATTCAGTATGGGAATAGGATTAACACAATTAGAAGCTATATGGAAAATTGGAACTATTTAATAACCTTCTGGAAAAATCAATTTCACAAAAATATTTTGATGGAAACACATCATTTTTGAGGGTTTGATAGTGTGAGGATAAAATACATAGTTAGGTATGGAACACCTTGTTGCTATTGAGGTGTACGTCTGTATCTTGATTTTCCAGGTTGTATGACTCATTGGTTTACCAATTACTTATAATGGAATATGCTGAATGAGGATGTGACAAGTCAATAAGCTATTAACAGAACAAGAAAGTGCACTTTTGTCAAAAATTATTTTAAAAAACCAACTATCTAGCTGTTATGTGCTCTCAAAAATCAGTTCAAAAACTTAGTGAAATTTACTCAGCTTGAGTTGAAGCATAGCAGGTCCAAAACATTAAAACCAACACTGAAAGATGTAGAATGGAGTAACAGAAAGAAAACAGAAATTAACTGCAGCAGTATATGCCAACTGACAGCTTGCAAAATCCTGAATAGGATTGCTGGGAGTTAGAGCTGTGTGATGGATAATCCAAGAGGTGGCAGCAGATTTTGTGTCTCAAGCTATTCCTCTCCTATTTGTGACGAATCCCTGAGTGATTAAGAATCGATATGGAACTGCACACCTCCTAGCTCCAGGGTCCATCCCACTGCCTTTAGTTTCTAATGAGCTTTGTGGAATTGGACTTAACTGTCAGGGGTCCTTTACCTTTACCTTTTTAAACTTCTGTAGCTGGCCAGTATATATAATCCAGAAATCCTTTCAGCCCAGTTTCAAACCTTCCAAGAGGCATTTCAGATCCCCTGGGAAGCAAGTACAGGATAATCTGTCATCCTGCCTGTTCACAGTCTGATGCTGGATTTATTTAGGGGCATGATGAAATCTTATATTTCTTCCCAGTTTGCATGCAGCCCCCACCCTGTCTGGCAGGGAGAGCACACCTTTCCTTCCTATTAGACATCTCCTTACAAGACTTCAAAAAAAGGCATGTCTCAGGTTCTGACCTCATTAAATTTCCCACATGCTCTGTTATATTGGATCTCGGGTGCTCCATATTAATAAATCATCCTAGATGTTGAGAAAGTCAGCAGTTGTTTTCTACCTGGATTTCGGAACACCCCTCGTTTTTTTCAAGAGGGTTTGGGCTCAAGTCAAGGGTTATTTAATCTGAGCATGTGCAAGATGGGAGTCAACCGAGGTCCTAACCTCAGCAACAAGGGCTGCGATGCTGAAGATCTGATGCTGGGATAAAAATTATTGACTTTCCTAGCAGGAAGTGGAACTGGTCTACTCTACAGGGGAGGGGTTCGGTGCGCACCGTGTGCTCAGATGCTTTGGCCTTTTACAGGGATGCCTTGCTGTGGCGTTAGTAGCAGGCTGCAACCCCCCCCCTCCCCGCGCGCGCGCCGCACCACCCGCATTTAGAAACTGCCGCCTTTCCCCTAGTAACAACCTTTCGGTAGTTCCCATTCCGGCTCAGACCATTTTCGCCTGCTCGCTGCTGCATCTTGCCTCGGTAGCAGCACAACAACGACAGTAAACAAGACCTTGTTTTGTGGCGCTGGAGGGGGAAGGTGAAGAGCATAGGTTGTGGCGAGCAGCCCAAAGGGATGGATTTGAGGTGTAAGATGAAGGAACTGGCTTTGGAGAGCTTCTGGCTATAGGACACCTGGAGAGATAGCGCTGCTGGATCCCCGTTCCCCCACCCTTTCTACTCTGCTCTGAACCCCACATAGGGACCTAGGAAGCTGCCTTATGCTGTGCCACATAATTGGTCCATCTTAGCTCAGTATTGCCCACACTGGCTGGCAGTGGCTCTCCAAGATTTCAGGCAGGGGTCTCTCTCTCTCAGTCCTACCTGGAGGTCCCAGGGCTCTACCACTCAGACCTTCCACACTGAGCAATGTGTTGGGGGTGGCTGCCGGTGATTCACAAAGCTGGTTAATGGGACCCACACTTAAACCGGAGAGTCGTATGCCACAGGTGGTCTCATCCTCCATCACCAGAGCCACATGCAAAGGACAGCCCGGGGAAGCATCAGGGGTGCTGCTGTCCTCGCCCTGTGGCTTCCTCTTGTCGTCGTCCTGACCCTTGCCTGACGCTGGCAGGTACTGCTATGAGACTCCTGCGCTGCACCCTCAGCCACTGAGCATAGCGAGGACTCGTTCTATATTAGCAATGCCCTGTCTTGTTTAGTGACCCAGGATTGCGGAGCAGGGGAAGCGCCACGCTGGGGAGGGAGCCATGACGTGCCAACCACCCTAGCCCCAGACACACGCCGGAGGCTCTCGGCGCTGCCTTTCTTTAACCCGCGCTGAAGTCGGAGGCACAAGGGACTTCTGGGGCCTGCAAAACAAACCCAAGGGATGCGGTGCCGGAGCAGCCAGTCTCGGTGAGGGTCGCCTGGTCTGGCGATCTCCTACCGCACCGGGCAGAAACTAGGCAGGCAAAGCAGGAGGAGATGCTTCCCGGCGGCTGCCATGACTCGACAGAGCTTCCTCCTGTGCTTCTTGCTTTCCCCGCGCTGCTCACCTCGGTTGCCATGTTGTGCTGCCAGCGTGGTTGCTCCACGCTGCTTGGGAGCCCGGGAGTCCGAAGCCGAGGCTAGAGCAGGTTGGTGACGAAGGCCCCTCCTTTCCCAGGAAGCCGACCTAAGGGCGATGTCCCTGTTGCCGCAGGCGGAGGAAGCGCTCGGCTCCCCGGAGCTTGTTGCCACCGGCAGGGCTGGGGCGGCGTCCGCGGCGGGGAAGCGCGGTGGGCAACTGGCGCGGAGAGTTCTGCGCTGTCCTTGGTGCTGGAATCGGAGGCGCAGGAGTCGGGGGCAAAGCGCCCCGCCTAGCGCTGTCCGCGGTGCTGACGACCCGCTCCCCCAGCGCGATCCCCTCCTCAACCGCTGCTTCGCTCGCCCCCAGCCTCAACGCTCAGGCTTCCTCAGTGAATGGCATCTCCACCACAAGGGGAGGGGGCGGGCTGCCTTCTTGGGAGCCGCATCCCCCCAGGGCGTCCCCACACTGGAGCGCCGGGCTCCGGCACTGACTCGCGGGAGGGACGGCGAGAGGCGGAGCTGTGCAGAGCAAGGAAAAGAGCAACCGGGCTCGCGCTCGTTTCCTGCTTGTCTTCCGAGAGCCGGCGTGAGGGCTACTTGGGGCACGTGCCATCCCAGCCTCAAAGCGGGAGATAGCGCATAGCTTCAGGTCCCGGTGTTGCTGGCGGGTGTTGTTGCCTCCGCTTCCAGGGCAGTTCTCTTTGATGGGGAACGCTTGGCCCCAGCTGCCACATACCCACCCCTCACATACCAAGCCTAAGGGAGACCTGGTATATGGTGTGGGACTGACTAATTGGCCGCACTAATGGGCACTTAGGGCACAGCGACAGAAGGGCCTCCTTCAGAATAGCCCTCCCTGGGGTGGCGTGTCTGCACTATACTTGATCCTCCATGCTTACTGTCTAGAACTGGCCAGGGAGTGATCATCTTCGGAGGGAAATGTGTATAAAAGCATTTTATGATTTCTGAATGTTTATTTGGAATTAAAGATAATGGGGTTTTCTCCCTGTTCCAGGGAATGATATTCCCCAAACAGGACTGAAAGATACCAATAAATCATAATTTTTCATGAAATTAAATATATTTGTATCCCCTCTCCTGAGTTCACAATTGGGCAACTTTAGATGCAGTGCCCTTAGTTAATAGTTCAAACTCAAGCCTGCATCTCTGGGCCTTGCTATCCCCTTAAACTTGCAATGTTCACACCTTGAGAGATTTTCTGTACCTTTGCTTTGACCATTTGATTAAAATAATAATTACAGTCTTCCACCCTTGGTTGGATTTTCCCTTTTACAGTACTTTTAAAGGTACAGGAAGTTTCCTGGCACCTGGAAGTAATAGCCCTGTTCTCATATCACTCCTTGACCCACACTCCTCTAATCTCCAAAGCATCTTTGCCTGTCCTCACCCTTTCTCTTAACAGCACAAGGTCCCTTATCCTGTTTTATGGGGTTTGCCTGCTCTGCTTTCTCCTTAGTGCAACTTCCAGGTGACCACCAGTCACTGTTGTCTCAACTCCCATCAGCCCTAGCAAGCATGGCCATTAGCCAGGGATGATGGGAGTTGTAGTTGAGCAACATCTGGAGGAGCCAAATGTTCTCCACACCTGCTTGAGGCCATATGGGAGCTTTGTTCATAATACCTTTCTCACTGATTAATCCTTTTCTCAATTCACTGTCTCTTCTGCTTGTCCTTTCTTTAGGGCAAAGGTGGTGAACCTGGCCCCTTCAGATGTTGTTCAGCTCAAAGTGCCATCAGCACCATTAGCAACCCAGGAATTATTGGTATTGTAATCCAATAACATCTGGAGGGCCTCAGGTTCATCATCCTTGCATTAGGATTTTGCCTTATTTTCTTATCCTTCCCTTTGGTTTCTCAGTTCATGCCCACTCTACTCTGCGTCAGGATCTGCTCTTTGTCTTCTTTACCTCCTGGGGCCTCTTGCTATTCAGCTGCTCCTTCAAATGTACTCTGAATTATGGAGTTCAGTGCTAAGGAAAAGGCTGGATTCTGCAATCTCTATGAATTATGCACATTTATTATTTTCATGTCTTTGCTTAGTTTGCAGAATTTATTCAGCAGACATAAAGAAGGGGCAACGAGCTATATAGGGTACTGAAGACTTCATGGAATATAAACAACATGGGTATAATTTCTTCTGCCTTATGTGAATCTTCCCCCACCCAAGCTGAGCTCTCTAGCCCCTCGTAGAAATTGGCCTGCTTATGAACCTTTTACTGTTGTGTGTTCTGTCTTGAAAATTGTGACTGTTTCTGAATGTTCCAAAACTTCACATCAGCAACATAAGGGAAACAGAGATACATGCAGATAGCAGGAATAGTTTAGCTGTGCATGTTTCTGCGATATATATGTGCTACCTTTAAGAAAAAAAGGAAAGAAGGAAGGAAAATAAATGCTTAGGTCTAAAAATATAGTGTCATTATGTGCTACTTCAGAGAGACTTCAGATATGCATACTTATACCCAGACACACACATATAAATATCAGCTGCAAGCCTAATTCAACCCTGTATACACCTGCAGAAGAACCACACCCAACTCTCAAGCCAGGATACTTGCTTCTTCTGCCTCACCCTGAAGACAAACCTGTCATTCTGGCCCTCCTCCATTCTTCCCATCTCTTCCCAATTCATACAGCCCAGGACCCTGTCAGATGCATTGTGCAAAGGCACAAGAAAAATTTCTCAGAGGATCTTGTCGTTCAGGCAAATTAAAGGGGCAATATGGATTGCTGAGAAGCTTCTCAACCCTGCAGTTGAGCACTTCATCAGCAGAATGGAGGCTTGAGAGCCAGTGGTAATCCAGCTGTTTGCTGGCATGAGCAGAAATGCTGCATCGACCTGAGCAGATGCTGGGCATGCCTGGCCCAAAGCCAACGATGATGCCTAGTGCTTGGAACCTGTAATTATCTGCAGAGGAGTTCTGCTCTGGAAATGTTTTAGTATCTCTCATTGCCATTCTGTGCAGCACTCCCCAAAGTGCAGCCTAAAATTTCATTTACGGATCTTCAGACATGGCGTGTCTCCCCCCCCCCCCCCCGAAAACTGAAGATTTGGAAAGGAAACTCAGGCTGCACATTGGAGATCACTGCACAGAATCACATCAACAAGAAAGGCTGAAAGATTAGCTACAGCTCAATGAGAGGAGCAAAACTTCTGGAAGATTGAACAAAGTCTGGGCTCATTAGACCTATGCAGGCAATTGGCACAGTCTGCAGTATGGGGAAAACAGAGTGGGAGGGTGGCTGAAGAGAGATACACAGCTAGGGTGCTTTGAATCCAGTATAAGGAATTGTGTTTGGGAAGGAAAGCAAGTTGAGAAACTGTCTTAGGTCAAGGCAGTGCCTTATACTCATAAGTGAATAATTGAAAGACCTGGCAGACTGAGTTAAGCACATCCGTGCTCACTCTAGGGAAATGATGGTGAGGCAGTAGTATTTATTATGATTAGGCAGTATGGCTTCAAAAGGATTCCGTTCTCTAGCTCTTGGAGACGCCACATTTTCTGTTTATGTAATACTAGCAACAGTATTTGCTGCTTGCATACAAGATAGAAGGTGGATGATGTCATTCAGAGTAAAATGACAAATAGCATGCATTTAAGGATGGAAGACATGTTACCGTGTGATATACACCATGTGCTTTTTATGGCATATCATAGATAGACCTCACAGTCAATGTGCATTGGAGCTTTGCAGGGTAGCATAAGCAAAAATGAATAGGTCTCTTCTTTAGGGAGCTTACAATATATGTTGTCTCCTCTGGCTGCATTCACACGACAGATTTACAGCACATGAGATTACTGACAACTGTCATTTATCCCTCACAAAGCTACAGTTCCCAGTGCCCTTGCCAAGCTACACTTCCCAGGAATCCTGGGGGGAAGTCGTGTGCTTTAAACATATGATGTGTGCACAGCCTCAGTCTGCAGGCATGTGTAATATCTACAGAATGCTTCTAGGAAGAGGTGAGGAAACCCTGAAGAACTCGGGGCACTCCATTATGTCCTGGGTTGGAAGTGAATCTCCTTGCACCTCAGATCACTGGGAGGACCTAAGGCAAGCCAATGGGACTTTTCCATGGCGTTCTAAAAATAAGTTTCCCTGCAGGACCTGAGCTGCCTTTGGGAAGGAAGCACGCCTCGCAAATCACTCATGGTACTCAGTGGAGAGAGGAATCTGCCAACATCGGTGCTTTATGGCGAAGAGTAATTGTGCCTGCTGCCTAATGGACTCAAGCCAGTCCTTTTAGGTCATGATTGCTGCAGTCAGACATGCTGTGTCTCGCCATGGAAGGGGACTGGCTGTCAGCAAATTGCATTGAATTTCATGGACGAATCTTGCATTGTCCTCAGTTCAAAGGGTACAAAGACACAGCCGTCAGTGGAACTACAGTGATTGGGGGGGATAAGGGGAATGAGCAACAAGGGGCATCTTCATCCTATATTTCTCTGTTTACTCATGTATGCAGAACATGCTGGTATAACTGGGGTGTTGTTGTTTTTTCCAAAGAAGGAGGAGCTGGCATGTGCCTGAAGTCTGCAGGGTGGCTCCCTTTCACTATTAGCGCTACTAATTAATCAGATGACAAACTGCAGCAGAAGCTTTAGTCGATTAATCTACCAAGAAAATTGACTGAAGCTCATAATTCTGCCTGCTACTGATACAGCCACTATCAGCCCTATTTAGTTTGCATGTGGTATGAGTGGCCTGGCTTCTGCCTCAATTGGAAAAGCAATGGGAGGCAATGCTGACCTAGCTACTTCTCTGCACTGAATTTTTAAAAATGTACTAATGGAAATAATACAGCAGGGAAAATAATAACAGAGGTTGTAGGCCTGAAGATGCATGCAGCTAGCCTGGGACTGCTTCTCTTATGGGTCAGAGCAGTCCAAAAGCTGACTTTAGAACCTACAGTTGGCAGAATAAAAGCAGTTTGTTCAGTCCAGATTAGAGAGCTGGTGGCAAGGACTCTGATGTATTGGCACAAGCATCCTGAAATGCATTATCATTTAGCTAAGGTCACTTGCAGATGACCTGTTTCTTGAGCACTCATGCTGCCTTGTTTGCACAAGTTTGCAAGAACAGGACTATTCTGAATTGTTTGTGGGGAAGTTATGTGATCGTTGTGTCAAGCAAGTATTATTCCACACTTTCTGGGGCATTTCCCCATCACTCTCATTGTCACAAAAACCAGCTTTAGGGAGGAGGAAGGGGGTTTGCGGTGCAAAAGATGGACTCACTGGTATGTGATTGAATCCCACCCCAAAACAGCAGAAGTCTGGAAGAGCCCTAAGACAAGTGGCAAACCAGCAACAAACACAGACATTTTCCTGCTCCTTACAGAGGGTAGATAGAAGCTTAGAGCCAGTGGATACTATCTGTGTTTCAATCACAGTATTATATGCACTACCAAGGAAGTCCATTGCAAAAAAACTTTATCTGTCCAGAAAACGCCAACTTCTCAACATGACCACACACATGTATGTGGCATCAGTTTTGATGGGGATCAGTCGCCCTTGATGGAGAGAAGCCAGGAAAAGAAGCAATAATAACAACCAACACCACCCAGATGCCTAGAATCACAAGAGAACTAGTCCGATAGGAAAGAAATGTTCTGAATCTAAAAATAAACCATCCATGAAATGTTTTTAAACTGTGTCATCTTCTCTAACTGGGTAGGTGGGGAATATGCCTGCACACCACAGGGATCCTAGCCAGTGATATTCAGCTTTGGGATGTGATTAGCTTTTATTTTCTCTACGAGTCATTTGACTTCTTTATTCATTTTATTTTACTGACATTCGCTCTAGGGACTGATGATTGTATGCAATGTTTCATATTAAGATGCTTACTTTGTTTCAGAGAATGCCAAGCTTCTCCCTTCCAGCATGGCATGGCAGCCATCGCCTACTGCAATCACCCACGGATGCATCAGACAGAACCTGGTTGTTGCCTTCAAAATTAGTGAAATCAGGTGATGCAGTAAAGATGCAGTCCAGAGAGGTTGTGTCACAAAATCAGATGCTGCCTTCTGGCAAGTGCCAGAATATCAGGGCAAACAAAAGGCGGTAGGAATTGCCTTGTCCACAAGTGGTTAAGTGTTCTCTTTTCAGCAGGACTACCTGCTGTCCTCACTCCATCCATTGCATGGGCAAATTGGACACTGCACCACCAACCTCAGTCTACTGTCAACCAACTCTCTGTCTGCCTGCTTTCTTATTTACAACTGGTTAGGAAGTGGGTTTGCCTTTCATTTAGATCTGGTTCCACCTATTGTTGGGTCTGCCTCTCTTCTGCCCCACCAATCCCAATGGGCATCAACCATCACCGCACTGAGACAGATTGACACAGAATTTACATACTAGATTGAGGCTCCCATTCAGAACCTCCTGATGCTCCCCTTCAAGGGTGCCAACTCGAATAAAATATAGTGGTACCTCGGGTTACAGACGCTTCAGGTTACAGACTCCACTAACCCAGAAATAGTACCTCAGGTTAAGAACTTTGCTTCAGGATGAGAACAGAAATTGTACGGCGGCGGCGCGGCGGCAGCAGGAGGCCCCATTAGCTAAAGTGGTACCTCAGGTTATGAACAGTTTCAGGTTAAGAACAGACCTGCAGAACAAATTACAGTGGTGCCTTGGGTTAAGTACTTAATTCGCTCCAGAGGTCCATTCTTAACCTGAAACTGTTCATAACCTGAGGTACCACTTTAGCTAATGGGGCCTCCTGCTGCTGCCGCACCACCGGAGCACAATTTCTGTTCTCATCCTGAAGCAAAGTTCTTAACCCGAGGTACTATTTCTGGGTTAGCGGAGTCTGTAACCTGAAGCGTATGTAACCTGAAGCGTATGTAACCCGAGGTACCACTGTATTGGAGGGGACAGGTAAGCCCTGTCCCACATCATCAATCACAAAGATGCAGCACACACACACACACACAAACCATTTGCATGGCAATGCCCATCAACTTTGGGGGAGTCTGGCCCCTTCAAATATCATATTGGGGGGCCAGAGGGACTTCGGCCCCTAGGAATTGGCTCCTATGCTCCCCTTTTTTGTTTCCCCATAATAGTTCAACTTCCACTGTCCATACCTTTCTGTTCCACGTGTGTGTCATCCTCTCTATGACGTCAACCAGGAGCCATCTCCCCCAGCTGGCAAAAAGGATGTGCTGTGTTTCTATGGCAACACTTCTGCCTTTGGATGTATGAATTAAAAAAAAAAAATCACACTCACACATTCACTGTGGTCTGCCACTCCTTTCTTGGAGCAGAAGTAAAGGGCTTAACAGCTTTGCCATTGAATCCTTCAATTCTTTTTCTGCAGAGGGGGAGACGGCACCCACATAAACATCATGCCCTCTGTATTCACATCTTAGCTGCTCTCTCTTTTTTTTAGCACAGTGGTGATGACACCTCAGGAAATAAAATCAGCTGCTGCATTTGAGCTTGTCCTCAACACAGGCAGGACTGTGCAGGAAAAGGACATAATTGAACTTCAAGCCTATACCCCCACTACTGGGCTTCCCAAAAGCAAACATCTCTGTAAATAACATTGAACGACTGACGGTGCCCCCAAACTCCAATTCCAAGGAGAATCTATGCTGCCTCCTTAAGGCGTTGTTTTAGGGGAGGAGAGCTTTCCAGCAGATCTGGCAATAGCATGCAAGCTCATGAATATTCAGTCAGCGGATTAGAAGCCTGTATTGGGTCTACAGGAAGCAGGGAAGTGCAAATGAGGATATCGAGCTTCTTGTTACAAAGTGGGCCACATAAGTCAATACACCCTACACAAGCTAGCTGAGGCTTTTCCCAGTGACATGAGAGTTGTTGTTTTCTATGGAGATCCCAGGGCTCTCACACTTTCTGCAGGCAAGGCTTATGCTCTGCTATTGAAATGTGTCTGTTCCTCTCAGTTGTGCACCCCAGGGAAATAGGCACCATCTGAAATTTGAGATGTTTCTAGATTTTGGAGTCTCCCAGAACCTGACAGTGATCGGGCATAGGAGACTAGGTCCTAGACACAAATACACAAGCCCAACCTGATCTAATTGGTTTCATTCAACCTTGCATTCAACTTCCTTATTTGCTTGCATTCAACTTTCTTATTTGTTCTGCTAACAGAGTGCTGTAGAGCATGGATGGGGAGCTTGTGGCCCTCCAGGAATTGTCGGGCCCAGCAACTCCCATTAGCCCCAGTCAGCATGGCCAACAGTCAGGGACGATGAGAGTTGGAGTCCAGCAACATGCGCACCACACCTGCATTTTGCTGAAGTAGATCATCTGGCAACATCTCATTCCGTGGTTTCCTAGAAACACCCCAACCCAACCTTTTCCAAAGCTGGAATGGAGGAATGAGTGGAGCATTTGTTCACCCACACCTAATTACTAATTTCCCCCTCGAGCCTTAGATCAGATACAATCTGTTTCGACAGAGTATGATCTCCGAGTCTGTGAAACATGATTGCATTAAATGAAAAGAGCAGGATAGTCAGCAATGAATCTTCCCTGAGAAAAAGCCCTTCTGGGCTCTCCCAGGCCTATGTGTGCCCTTGCCTCCTGCCCAGAGCTATCGCTCCACTGCATTGCTCCATCCATCACTTACCCCAGGCACAGAGAAGCAAGCAAGAGTCAGGCCTTGTATAGGGCTGGGATGGAGCCAGTGAAGCTGTTTTGTGCATTATTGATTCCACTACTGTGCCCTAGGCTCATCACTTATCAAGACACACAGGGCAGCAGGGTGATGTGAAAATGAGCCACAAACAGATGAGGGACCCTCCCTACCCTAACACAACAGTCCATTGCAAGACCCATTCATCAGAGGGAACAGGAGGAGTCTTGGTCAAGCCTCCAGAGACAGATTGACCAAGGCACTCATTCAACTATTGCTCGCAAGTTCCCCTCCCCACTCCCCATCCATCTGCTAGACAGATATGGAGGCCCATGACAAAGACTCACACTGTACCAGTGTCAGGCACTGTCCTTAAAGGATGCTCCTGACTGGCACATCTCACAAGCAATGCCTAATGAACCCCTTCTGTTCAGGGCTGCCAAGTTGCCCAGAGACTGGGAATGAGCTGAGGGGCTGAGCAAAGACAAAGGCAAATTTCCACTGCCTTCTGTAATCAGCAATGTGGATTCCATCTGACACGATCTAATTTCCTTCCTGATACCTTCAAGACAGCAAATCCATCTATGTACCTTTCCTAAAAGCCAAGACAGAGGACATGATGGTTGAAGATAAGTGTAAATGTCTCAGGAAAGGAGCGATGTAATTATCTGAGGTGAGATGGTCCACCGAGCTTAAAGTATGGAGTTCAGAATGCAAGTAAGCACCATAGCCAGAAATGCTAACTTGTGAAAACAGTCTCAACCGTGCTTTTGCAATGCTAGTAGAAGAAATTCAGGTTGCTGGAGAGAAAGAGACAAGAGTTGAAAGACAAGAGTTGAAAGAGTTGAGAGAGAGACATCAGCACCTATGGCTTACATGCTTATTTCCTTTGTTCCATTTGTCCCATGAGTTGATTAAATCTTGCAAATCTTTTTAATTGTTTCAAAAACCTGCAAAGCCTGTTTGAACAAAAGCACTAATAGGGGTGAAACATAAACCTTTAAACTTGTATACCAGAGGCAAAAGAGAGCTGAGTATACAGAATTAAGCATTGCTCTCTCTTTTAAGTTGAATTCAGCTCTTAGGGAGGGGTGTGTTGAAATAATCATTTATTACCAGCCTCTCAAACTGGTCTCAGCACATTAACTGGAAGTGATTTCAGTGTTTGGGCTCCTGGTATAAGTGAATGCTTGTTTATTTATTTTATTTTGCTTTTTTAAAAAGCCCTTTCCTCTAAGGAGCTGAAGGGACATACCATGGCTCTTCCCTTCTCTGTATTAACTCCGTATTAACACAACATTCCTGTGAGGCAGGTTAAGCTGAGAGATGGTGAATAAGGATTTATGTTTCAGGTTTAGCTGGTCTGAGGTTTGGGATGTTTTAAAAATTAAGTAATTAAAATTAAAATTAAAATTAAGTTTGAATTGTATCCTGTTTCTTTAACTCCTTTAAAAAAGGTCTTTTCTCAACATTACTAGTAGCAGGGTGCCACACACCCTTGTTATCACCAACACACACTTTCAACAAAAATAAATAAATAAAAAACATAATGGAGACACCCTCAGTCGAACCACTGGCACCTCTTAGACTATGTAATTGTCCGAGCTGAAAATCACTGTGATGTGCTCCTTACCAGAGCTATGACAGTGCCAACAATTGCTGGACAGATCACCGATTAATACACTCCATAACGGCTATCAAGATTATACCTCAGCATAGGCTTCAAGGAATGAAACCAAGGTGCAAAATGAACACTCAAGCCCTTCAAGGTCCTATTAAGTGGGATTGCTTCCAAAAGACTCTTAAGGACCCTGACAACACTGGACCAAGCTAAAAGCATCCATTTTTGCAGCCTGTGAACAAACTTGGATACCAAACCAGGAAACACCAGGACTGGTTTGATGAGAATGACAGTGAGATTAAATGCATTATTGACAAGAAAAGGAAGGCATTTCAGATCTAGCAAAGAGATAGAAACTGCACCACTAAGAAAAAAACCTATGCCAACTCTAAGGCTGAGGTTCAAAGAAGAACCAGAGAACTAAAGAACTGTTGGTTTCTGCTTTCCTTCACTGTGCAGCTCTGCTTGTCACGAGACAGGTGTTTACATTCCACAGTCTGTACTGTTGGAGTTTCTCACGGGAAAGGGAGACTGGATGTGACGTACACTGGTTTCCTGTTTTTCACTGTGTGATTCTCTCCGAGCTGTTGAGGAGAGAGGATGCATTTTCTGCTCCAGCAGAGGCAAGATGTCTTTCTGTAATATACCAGCTTTGAACTGTAAATAAAGCTATATAGAGTATGTATCACGTACTCCTCATCCTTCCGCTGGGCACGACTGACTCTGCTTTAAATCAACACGTGGTTATGGGCTCCAGGAGTCGAATCGGAGTGCCGGCAAAGGATCGGAATGCAGAGGGACAGATCGGAAAGGAATCTGCTCTGCGCGTAGAGGTGATTGATGAGGTATGTGCTACTGCTCCGGGCAGCCTGCCAGCTTCAAGTTAATGGCTTTATGGCTGGACTTTGAACTTTTAAAGCCGGTTTTGCCGGGAATAGGCAAAGGCTCCCAGGCACAAGTCACTATGCTGGGGAAATCGAAAGTAACTTTTAAGTGCGCCTTTGTAATAAGGCAGCTGCAGCAGTGACGCAGCAAGATTTAAAGCAGCATATGACGCTGAAGGCTAATGCCAGAGTCATGATGGCCCTTCAGGATGCTTGTGGGATTCCTAAGCTCAACAAGAAAAATTACAGCGACTGGGTTCAGTATGCAGAGGCAATTCTGCGGAAAGAGGGTTTGTTTGAGGTGATTACAGGAACCCCCAGTTCCAGTTACAGATGCATGGGAAGCTAAGGATTCCAAAGCAAGGGGAACTCTTACATTGATAGTATCCCCAGAAGAGCTCTGTCTATTGCGTGATAAGACCTCAGCCAGAGAAATTTGGGACGCTTTGAGAGAGGCTCACTTAAGGACAGAAGCTGGATCCACTATGTTTTACTTTAACAAGCTGCATAATATGGCTCTTGCTGAAGGTGGAGATGTGCGTTTACATCTAATGGAGATGCAAAATCTGAGACATGAGCTGCAACAGAGAGGACTCAACTTTCCAGAGGCTGTGTATTCTTTCATGATACTACAATCTTTGGGTTCAGGTTGGGAGTCTGTTGCAACCCAGATTGCTGTGCAACCAACTGCTCAGCTGACAGTGGACTTTGTTACTGCCGTGATTTTAAATGAAGCAGATCGCCGGGGTGCTAGCTGCATGGGCAAGGGGGAGTCTTCACAGACGTCATCCCATAGTGCAGTGGAACCACCAGATGGCGCCAAAGCTTTGAAGGCAGTGAAATGCTACTCGTGTGGACGTCTAGGCCATATGAAGAGGGAATGCAGACATCCCAGGGCCAAGACAGAGCAGCGCAGCGAAAGCTCATCGCGCGGAAAAGGCCGAGGCAAAGGCAAAGGTCCGGTGTCTAGGACAACGCAGCACAAGGCTATGGTTTCACGCTTCACTCCAAAGGTTGCAGAGGTCCAGAAGACGTCTAGATCTTTCTTCGTTATTGATTCAGCGGCCACCCACCACATGTGCAACGATAAGAGACTGTTTGTGTCTTTTACACCGCAGGAAGGTGCGATTCACCAGGCGGATGACCACACTATTCCCAGTAAAGGCTACGGAACTGTTGTTCTTCACAGTTTGGACTTATCGATACAGAATGTGCTTTACGTGCCAGACGCCAAACATAATCTGCTCAGCGTTGGACAGCTGAATGAGCGGAACATTGACGTTTCCTTCAAGAACAAGAAGTGCATCATCACAAAGAAAAATGATTATGTGTTGCATGCAGAATATGTTGATCGTTTGTTTGTTTTGTATTATGATGATGTGGTGCAGGATGACACTTGTTGCATTGCAGGTTCTAACAAAAGTTTGCATGCAGAATGTATTCACGATTTTCATCGAAAATTTGGTCATTTGCATTTTGAGGCAGTATCTAAAATGCCTGCCTTGGTTGAAGGTATGACTATTAAACCCTGCAGGTACCACATGAAGTGCAAAGCATGCGCAGCAAACAAGGTGAAAATGGCTGCGAAAGGTAAGGTGTCTAGTAGGAAAGCTACAGAACCATACCAGGTTGTTCATGCTGATTTGGTTGGACCACTAGCGCCCTCTTTGGGTGGAAATAGATACTTCATGGTTCTCATTGATGCATTTTCTAGATATATTTTTGTGTACAATCTCAAGCAGAAATCGGAGGCTTTTCCTAGGTTCAAGGAATTTTGTGCTTGGTTGGAAAATGTGCATGGTAAGAAGATAAAGACTCTTTTCAGTGATCGCGGGGGGGAATTCACTTCTCAGCAGTTTGAAGCTTTTCTGACTGAGAAAGGAATTCAACACGATTTGTCTAGTCCTCGCTCGCCATGGCAGAATGGACTTGCGGAACGGGCAAATCAGACATTGCTTCAAGGATTAAAGACCTTGCTGCATGATGCCAATCTTCCAGAGAGTTATTGGGCCGAATCTCTCTCGTGTTTTGTTTACAGTTACAATCGCCGGTTATCTTCAGCGATTGGTCGTACTTCTATGAGAAGATGTTTGGCAAGAAGCCATACATCAAACACATGAAGATTTTGGTTCTGACATGTGGGTTCGCTCACCACAAAACGCCAAGTTAGACAAGCGTGGATTGCATGGTATCTTTCTAGGTTATCAGAAAGGGTCTTACAGAATAATGATGACTGACTCTAAGACAATTAAGCTCACGAGAAGTGTTGAGTACAATGCAAAGTGGGGGGAGAATGTGGGAATTTTCCAATGTTATCCTGATGACGGTGATGAGACTGAGGATAGTCAAAAGCAACCACAACAGCCCACACCCACTGATGAAGGTTCTGAGTCTGAATCTGAAACTGAATCGGGTGATTCAGAGGATTTCAAGAGTGCGAAAGCCTCTATGCGACCCTCTGAAAGCTCTGATCAAGAATTGGAGGAACCATTGTTCACAATAGGTCGTTTTTCTCCTAAGAAGGAAGAGGAGAGTGTTGAAGACTTAAGGCTAATTCGTAGGTCACAGAGAGCCACAAAAGGCAAACCTCCAAAGAGATTTGCTGATGAGTTTGCTAAGATAGCAGTAACAGCTGTTAAAAGCTCCAAGAAGGTATTTGAACCTTCAAGTTTCCAAGAAATCCAGGGTTTGGATTCGAAGGAAGCTGAGCCATGGTTAAATGCCATGAAGGCTGAGCTTGATTCCTTAGAAAGGAACAAAACATGGGAGCTAGTTCCAGTAGTTCCAGGAATGAAACTGCTTGGAGCAAATGGGTCTTCAAAGCGAAGACAGATCAAAATGGCAAGATAGTCAGACACAAAGCCAGATTGGTAGCCAGAGGTTTTGCACAGGTACCAGGTGAAGACTATCACGAGACCTATTCACCCACAGTGAGATATGAAAGCATTAGGCTTATGCTCAAGCTAGCTGCAGAGGAAAATCTACACATTAGTCACCATGATATTAATACAGCTTTTCTGTACGGATCTCTAGATGAATCACTTTATATGCTTCCACCTGATGGCGTACAGGTAAAACAGGGATTTGTTTGTGCTCTGAAGAAATCCCTTTATGGTCTCAAACAAAGTGCACGGTGTTGGCACACAAAACTCACTGAAGTATTGTTTTCTCTAGGTTTTCAGCAAGGGAAAGCTGATCCATGTGTATTTGTCAAAGAGGAGGGGCAAAAGAAACTGTACTGTTTGTTTTATGTTGATGATTTATTATTCTTTTGGAAAGATGTTGCAATGTACAATAGCGCCCTAGCTCAACTGAAAGAGCACTTTGACATGAAAGATCTTGGTGAGGTAAACAACTACCTATCTCTGGAAATAGAGAGAGATCAAGATGGTAACATTCTAGTACACCAGTCACGGAAAATTGCTGATGTGTTAAGCAAACTAAATCTGATGGATGCTAACCCTGTAGACACACCGATGACAACAGGTTATCAGGTAGATGACACTGAAGAAGCATTTTCTGACACTACATTGTACAGGAGTGTGCTAGGCAAGCTAAACTTCATTGCCAGATGTTCAAGACCAGACATTGCTGTTAGCTGTAATTTGCTAAGCAGACAAGTCAACAATCCTAGTGTCAAGGATTGAAAGCTCTGAAACGCATAGCGCGGTATTTGAAAGGCACTATGCATTACAGACTGAGATTTAACAATCAGAAGTCTGGTGGTCTTGAGATATTTGCAGATGCAAGTTTTGGAAGTGACGCTACAGACAGGAAAAGTACGTCTGGAGTTTGCTATATGTACAATCAGAGTCTGTTTGATTGGTCATGCAAGAAGCAAACAACAGTTAGCTTAAGTACTTGTGAAGCTGAACTGAATGCACTGTCTTATTCACTTAAGGATTGTGAATGGTTAGTACAATTGTGCAAAGATATGAAAATTCCTGTCAAATGTCCAATCCAGGTTTACCAGGACAACAAAGCATGTTTGGCTTTGCTGAAGTCTGAAGGTTGTAAGCAAAGCACAAAGCACTTACAATTAAAGTTGCAGCATGCTAGGGAATGTATTCAGAAGGGACTCGTAACGGTGTCCTATATGCCAGGTAATGAAATTCCTGCTGATGTATTGTCCAAGATTGTATCAAGGGATCAACACTGTACCTATGTGCAGAAGTTGGGTTTGTACTGATATTGTGCAAACACGCTGCCCAGTGATGTTCACAGAAAGGGGAGGATGTTGGTTTCTGCTTTCCTTCACTGTGCAGCTCTGCTTGTCACGAGACAGGTGTTTACATTCCACAGTCTGTACTGTTGGAGTTTCTCACGGGAAAGGGAGACTGGATGTGACGTACACTGGTTTCCTGTTTTTCACTGTGTGATTCTCTCCGAGCTGTTGAGGAGAGAGGATGCATTTTCTGCTCCAGCAGAGGCAAGATGTCTTTCTGTAATATACCAGCTTTGAACTGTAAATAAAGCTATATAGAGTATGTATCACGTACTCCTCATCCTTCCGCTGGGCACGACTGACTCTGCTTTAAATCAACAAGAACACCTGGTGGATCACCAAAGAGAAGAAGAAGAAGCCACACCCTAAGAACGTTCAGAGAATTTGGGGAATCTGTTTGCTTGCTTGCTTTTCTGCTTTATTAAGAGATTTTTTACCATGTCCTTCAACAAGCCCCCAGGGTTGCTGACAAGGAATCAACAATCAATAATCAATTAAAATATGCAAATAACAAGAGTGGTAGGAAACATCAGGCCAGGGCTTTGAAAGTGGCCTTCTTTCCAGGTTTCTCTCTCAGGCCTTCTGGGATTTTCCCAAACCAGATCCCCTCCCCAGGCCACACTCTCCTTCACCAGACCCTTTCTGTGGCCCCCGAGTGATTTTGCCTTGCTTTCCTGACCCTTGAGCATCTTGGTTGCCCTTCTCTGTACACATACCAGCTTGTCAATATCCTTCTTAAATGGTGGAGCTCAGAAATGGGCACAGTGTTCCAGGTGGGGTCTGAATGAGCATGGCTGAGACTGCCTGTATTAAACATACTACAAAATGTCCCTGGAAAAGTACTGATGAAGTGCAGCAATTGTGTTTTTTCAGGGCTTCGGGGCAGGAAAGGCATAAGACCATTTAATCCAAACAGACAATCTCTCCCACTCCTCTTCACAAACTCGCCAGTATCAAATTTGGAAACTGGACTCTGGCTAACCCTCATTTTTCCTGCAGCCCCAGCAATGCAGTACAATTCACTCCTTGCCAACAAGACACATTATTGCACACTCATTTTGCCAGAAGTTTATTTTGATGATTACTGAGCTTTTGCTTGGCATATAAGGAGCTTCTTTGTAATAGTCCTGCACCACAGGGGGTTGGACTAGATGACCCTTTGGTCCCCCTTCCAACTCTGTTTTGGTCCCCTTCCAACTCTATATTCATTTGGTATAAGCACTGTATGAGTCTAGCAGCAGTCCTGTGGGTTGTGGGTAGACAGGTCAGCTGAGACATCCCCTCTCCACACATAAGACAGGGACATGCCTATGATAAAACTAAGAAGCTGTGTTGCCTTTAATCTCTGTGCTTCGGCTTCTTCCTGAATGGCTGGATCATTCTCAAGCCAGGGAGCTGGAATTTGTCACCCCATATGTACTGGGGGAGAGGGTGTTCACAGGTTGTTGGGTTTCGACAGTGCTGAACTATTTTTAGACCTGGTGCTGTTCTGACTCAGTGGAGTGTTTATGCAGGATGTGTTCCGTAATCCCAGTCGATAATATATACAGAGATTCCAGAATTGCAGCATAATCCATCCCGGGTTTTATATTGCTCTGAGAGATAAGGGGGTACTTAGGGAAATAGCTAGCAGTTAGTTAAAATATATTGTGCTGTACAGTGTATAATTAAACGTGTCTGCCTGTTTGGCCTCAAAAGCATATTGTCGCTTCTGCTTCTCTCTCTCTCCTTTCAAAGAGCTCCCTATCTTCTGGGACACAGAAGCACATGGATGCTCTTCAAAGCAGGTGGAGAGGGAAGGAGCAAAGGAAGAATGTGCTGATGCTGGAGAAGTCTCAGAGCTTACTAAATTGCTCCCAGCACAGCTTCGCAGGCCCTAAAGGAACAGAGATGACATCATTCTTCCCTTACTAGAGCAACAAAAACACACCTTGGAAGTTCCTGGCCGTGGTCACTGTCATCAAGCACCTTACTGGTCATACCTGATGGTCACTCCACCGGTTACATGTTTTGCCCCTTACGGGGAAGGCTTCTGCTTATGTAATTGCATGGCATCTCCATCTAGATGGTCACATACAATGATCGTCTCTTCTTTTCATGCACAGTCTCAGAAGATGTGGTTCCCTGTCTCTTCCCAGCATGCACATAGTACACACCTGCTGCATAGTACACGCCATACATTTAATGCACACACCCCTCCCACCGAAAAAGAATCTTGGGAAGTTTACCCATCATAGAGTAGCAACCTCCAGCACCTTTAACAAACTACAGTTCTCTTTGGGGGGGAGGAAATGTGCTTTTAATGCATGGTGTGTACACAGCCACAGTGAAAAGGAGGGCGGCCGGGTCTGTTTGTCACACCTGATGATGTACATACATTCCCCATGCTCCCCCATCCAAATAATTCTGTGTCGAGAAAATATAACACGTCTCCTAATCTGGAGCGAAGGGGAGTGCATGCTTCCATGAAGAATTGCTGGCAAGAGACTGCTCTTTTTTGTACCCTGTGAGCTGGCTTTGAAAACACCTGGCAGATGGTGCTCCTTCCCAGGTGTCCCTGCCTAATTTACTTTTGCCAAGACAGCCACATCAAGGAGAATTAACCCATGCATTAAGGAAGCTCTGCACCTGGAGGGAAGCCAAGCTGCAGATCTAAGTGTTTCTCTATGGGGTAGTAATGCCTATCCCTCTCAGACAGGAATAGAGACACTTTTCCCCATTGAGGGCCACATTCCCTTTGAAGTAACCTGCTTGGGGGGTGAGCAGGCCAGAGCCAAAAGTGAGAAGCTTCTCTTCTCTCTCTCTCTCTCTCTCTCTCTCTCTCTCTCTCTCTCTCTCATTTCCCTGCTTCCTCCCCCATGCAATTAATTGCACACAATTAATTAAAGCAAGGACTGGAAGTGGCCCTGAGGCTGCAGGTTTCCCACCCCTGCTCTCAGAACCTTCAATTCTCCACTGTTTAGGGGCTATTTTCTTAGACCACGGCATGGAGATAATAGCCATTTCACTCTTTGTTGTGGAATGGGAAAATCCTGCACAGCAGGAAGAACAGAATAGCTGCGCATATTACTCTGCAACATATGATTAGCAGGGCAGGGTACCTGCCACTGTGTTTGCATGAATGCCTTTGGGAAACAGAGGGAAGGTAGGGGGCCATGGTATGCACAGGGGCGCAGAAGGGGTAAGTAAGTAGGTGTGCCCTAAAATACAGTACAGTGTGTACAGTACATTGCCCCCTCTCCCCACCCCTCTCTCTGAGATGCAGGGCTGGGAAAACTTCAGCTAATGAACTTCTGCCTGCCATGTAGCTAGTAAAAGCAAATGATCTGGCAGTAATATGGCGTTTGAGTTGGATCATAGGGAAAATCAACCCCTACGTCAATCACTCTAGTGATCACTGAATCTGGGTCAGCTCCAAGGTTGGGGCAGGGAGACTACATGCAAGTGGACCTTAGTGGACCCCTTTAACTATGGGTTGCAAGGGCCCCTGCCCATGGTTCATCCTCTCCTCTCACAGGCAGCCCAGTAGCCATAGGGGGGCAGCACATTAGTGTGCAGCTGCTGCTGCTGCTGCTGCTGTTCTATTTATGTATGTATTTATAATAACCACCTACTCATAAAAATATTGTGACAGTGTACAAAAAACCATTCAAACATCATAAAACCATAGCATGAAAAAGTAAGAAGCAAACGACCAGCAGCGAATTAAAGTCGTTCTCTAAAAACAGTGGGCAAAAAAAATGTTTTCTGCATGTGACACCGTATCAGAACTGTGGGTGCCTGATTGATTTCAGAAGGGAAAGTGTTCCAGGTGACTTGTGTAGTTTTCCTTCTCACAGAGCTACAATTCCCAGCATCCTTAACAAACCACAGTTCCCTCCTGGGGGGGGGGGGTCATGTGCTTTAAATGTATGGTGTAGGTCTGCCCAAAGTTTGTGGCTGTTCCTCTACTGCTCCTCCTCAAAATTGCCAGTGTCTTCACTTGTCCACCCTCTGCAGGAGAACACAGGTAAGTGGAGGCAAGGTGGAGAAAGAGCAGAGTAGCAGGACATGATCCACATGGTAATCGGCCTTCTGCCGAGGTGAAGGAGAGGTTAAATGTACAGGTGGCATTTGAGGGGAGGCAGTCAACAGGTGCTCAACCATGCTGACTTCTGGTGCCAAGCCAGCACTGTATTATGAATACCAGGGATAAGGAACCTGCAGCCCTCTGGATGTTGCTGGACTATGGCTCCCAACCCCTCTGACCTCTGATTCTGCTGGCTGGGGCTGGTGGGAGTTGGGGTCCAACAACATCTGGAAGGCTACAGGGTCCCCAACCCTGTGGAAGGGCTTAGAGTTCTCCCCAAATTGATACTTGTAAATCTGAGTCTAGGCTGTCCCACTGCAGCGTGAGAGCTCGCATGACTGAATGCTCTTCCATTCAAAGCAAAGGAAAATTCTCCACATATAGAAAACTTTTTAAAAGGGGAAGAATTGTTTTTGTAACCTAGGTTTCTCTCAGATATGCTGGTTTTATATGGGTTAGTTTAATTTGTTGTGGGGGACTATTTCATTGTGTGAGCCAACTGTCTATGTAGACATCAAATCCATAAAGCCGAAAATGGTTGGTCTTATGTACTAAGCTTGGATCCTAGAACAATAGGCAAGTAGGATCCTAGAATGCACCAACTGATTGGCTTGCAGGAAAAGACCAATCAGGCTCCAGGAGGGAAGCAGAATCAGCCAATCAGATGGGACTCATTGTATAAATAATGTACAGTGGTACCTCGGGTTAAGAACTTAATTCGTTCTGGAGGTCTGTTCTTAACCTGAAACTGTTCTTAACCTGAAGCACCACTTTAGCTAATGGGGCCTCCCACTGCTGCTGTGCCGCCGGAGCACAATTTCTGTTCTCATCCTGAAGCAAAGTTCTTAACCCCAGGTAATATTTCTGGGTTAGCGGAGTCTGTAACCTGAAGCGTATGTAACCCAAGGTACCACTGTATATAAAAGGCTGAGGTTTGGGGGCCAATTCAATCACTGTTTTACAGGCTGCAATAAAGAACATGAATTCACTACAGGAGTCCGAGTATATTTCAGTTGGGATGAAGGAAACCTGGAATTTCATCTCATGCATTGAAGCAAACTCTGTATACTTAAGCATCTCTATACCATGGTCAGAGGCAGTATGATCCTAAATACCAAATGCTGGAAACCACAGCAGAGGAAAGTGCTCTTGTGCTCAGGTCCTGCTTGCAGGTTTCCCCCAGCCACCTGGTTGGCCACTGCGAAGGCAGGATGCTAGACTAGATGGGTCACTGGCCTGATCCAGCAGGTTCTTCTTATATCGCTTAGGTGTCCCACATGAAACAGGGCACAGCTCATTGAAAGCTTTTCAGTTCCCTGTAGATCAACGTTCATTTGAAGCCTGCTTTATTTGTCCAATTGCAGTGAAACCAAAAGCACAAAAGAATGGGAAAGTTAAGGATGATACTGGCTATTAGCTTTAAAAAATCCCACAGCACTATCCAGGCCTGGACCATCACCGTCAGCTTTCTTCTTCTTCTTGCATGTTATGAAGACCAAAAGGGAAGGCATCTGAAAGCCCTCATCCTGCTCACACTCCCCTCCCTGTTAGCTTTCATCACAATCTGCAGCTGCTTCCCCAGTTCATTAAACCCATTATGGCCAGGCTGTCATCATCTGCCTGCTCAAGCCCTCTTCAAAGTAACAGAGAGAACAAGCAGTTTAGCTAGGAGCCTGTCAGCTGCACTCCAAAACAAGGATGGGGAGGAAGCAAACTCCGACTGGATCATTAGGATGGAGAATGACAGCAGCCAAGCCAGGTGACTGCAGAAGCTACTGGAGATATGCGCTGACCTTTCTATAAAGGCACCAGGTGCGTGTGGAAGGAGAAACTCCAGAGAACTGTTTCTAAGGGTACCTTTGTGCGTGGGAGATGCTCTCTGATGCATGACCTTTTGGTGGATAGTCTAAAGCAGGTTTCATCTCCTCTGCCTCCCCTCCCCTCCCACACTTGAGGTCCTCCAAGCAGACAAAGGGACTCGAGCAAAAATCATATTTCACTGAGAAGGGAGAGGGTGGTAGGGGCAGCTACTATTTGTGCGTAAGGATGGACAGCCGTGCAGACCAACTGGAGCACCAAGCACTTGGCTTAGAACTGTTCTTCTCCCTGAAGCATCATGAATGAACCTAACTGAATCAGAACCAGGAAGCACCCAGTCCTTTGTTTTTTTGTTTTTTTGTTTTCCATCCTGAAGTCCTGGTACAGATGCAAAACTTTATCTGGCCAGCAGGATCAGAACCATCAACAAATTATACAGCCAGACTCCAACAAACTGTTCAGGAAGAGACTGCAGGAAGATGAAGTCAGCTTTTGCCTACATTTCCCACTTGGCCCTATAGAATGGTGCCAATGGGCTACACAGCTTGCAGCTTCTTAAGCTTGGTGGCATCTTCACTAACCAGCAGCAACAATCCAGATCTTTCTCTTTTTTGCATGTTAATTTTCTAATTCCTCTTGACTGAAGGGCAGAATTTTTTTTTTTGCAAAGTCTGGTCTGCAAAGACCGAACATAAAACTTTCAAGCTGCCAGAGCTAGCTACTTATTACTATGCATCTTGTTTACACTTCATATCTATTCCAGTCTGGTCAGAATCTGAGCTGACCAATGGCCAGCCCCTTCGGCGTAGAATAGGAAGGCAGAAACGAGGTGAATGAAGGATAGGAGCAACGAAGGATAGGACAGAGCCAGATAGATAGAACATGGCTGCAATCCTGCACCTTTCTTTGTGAATGGAACAGAGAGCCTGCAGGATCAGGGCAAAGCTCCACCTGGTCCAGCATCCTGTTCTCACAGTGGCCAACCAGTTGCCTGTGGGAAACCAGTAGGGCAGGATTTGAGCCCAACAGCCCCTCCCCTCCTGGGGTTTCCAGCAACTAGTATTCAGAAGCATGGAGGCAGAGTAAAGTTATCTTGGCTTGTTGCGACTGATAGCGTCATCCTCCATGAATTTGTCCAACCCTCCTTTAAAGTCCAATAGTATTTTAAAGAAAGTGCATTGGCTGGATTTCCCATAAAGGGAACCACCCGTTCTCAAACCAGGCACCTTTACACTCAGCTTTGTTATCGCACCAGCCACAACTCCCCTTGTCCCAACAGCTTGCTCCTCTTCCTGACCCTGGTGCACAGCTGCTCTCAGTAAAAGCAGAGCTATGCATGGAGGTTTGGGCAAGAGGTGGCTGTGGGCAGAACTAGCTCAATACATTTGGCTGCCAGGTGGAACAGCATATGGCACCCATACCCACCCACAAATAGCACCCACAAGGCTAGTCAAGTTATCTTGGCACACCCAAAAAACACACCCACAAACAAAGGCAACAGGACAAAAAACAATACAGTGGTACTTCAGGTTAAGTACTTAATTTGTTCCGGAGGTCCGTTCTTAACCTGAAACTGTTCTTAACCTGAAGCACCACTTTAGCTAATGGGGCCTCCTGCTGCTGCCGTGCCGCCGGAGCACAATTTCTGTTGTTGGACTACAATTCCTATCATCCCTGACCAATGGGCCATGCTGGCTGGGGCAGATGGGAGTTGTAGTCCAACAACATCTGGGGAAAGGCTGCTCTAAAAGACTTCTTTTAGGAACCTGGCATGATGGTGTGAGAAAAGAAAGTGGAAAACTGACAAGTGACTACTAGCCATGGAAATTATGAATGACAACCTGGCCGGAGGCAGTATACTGAGATTGCTGGGATTCCCAAGTTGAAGAGAGTGCTGCTGCACTTACACCCGGCTTGCAGACTTCCCACAGGCATTGTAGATGCTGGACCAAAGAGGCCCTTGGTCTAATCCCTCAGGGCTCTTCTTATGTTCTTACACACAAGAGGAGTTTGATTGCTCAGGTGCCTGGCTGTATATTCCTGCTGCCGTCGCCAGTCCTCACACCCAGTATCCTCGTCTTCTGTGACCCCGCATGCAATTTCACATGTCATAGGATCACAGAACTGAAGAGTTGGAAGGCACCCTGAACATCATCTAGTCCAACCCCCTGCAATGCAGGAATATGCAGTTGTCCCACATGGGAATCAAACCTGCAACCTTGGCATTATCGGCACCATGCTCTAACCAACTAACCCATCTTATATTCTTATATGTGCACTCTGACTTATATTGCCTGACTTGCCACCGCAACTCCTGAGCTGTTCCCAGTACATCCTCTGCTGGACCAGAGAGAAATTTGCCTAGGCTACTGCCATTGCTTCCAGAAGAAGCCAGAGACCTACAAGTGATGGAGGGCAAACCTGAGTCCGCACAAGAGGGTAGTCAAGGGGCCTTCACTGAAGCACAGCCACTAATCCCCCCAAAAGGGAGCTTTGGAGGAGCTTGCTGGACTGTGGCTCTGATTCTCCCAGCACACCTTCTGGGATTCCCTTCTGTACAAAGAGCTGTTCTGTTCATATTTCATATCCTCCCTGTCAGCCAGCCAGCTCTGACAAACAGGGAGAGCATTATGAATGCAGCTGGAGGAGGGCAGCCGACACCCCAACAGGCTAGGAAAGATCCTTGCTGCTCAAAGCCTTCTTCCTTGACCTTGTTCCAAGGGAAGGGACTCTGTCCTGGGTGGGCAGAAGGGAATGCGGTAGGCAGCATCTCTGCAGTGCTTCCACCAGCCAGGAAGGATTTATTAGTATGGGGAGCGTGAGTTGCAGCAGCAGCAGCAGCAGCATGGCACAGCACTAACTGGGCCGCCTCCAGATGCATTTCACTCCCCTCTCACTGGCCAGGCTGAGCCTCGGCCAAGGACACATTCCGCAGCTTAGGGGACAAGAGCGCGAGTGTGTGGCCTGGAGGAAATGAAGGCCTGTGAGCTAGGAGAAGTGGGATTGGCACATAGGCACGAGTCAAAGGGCTCTGTGAGGAGCACTTAAGAGGCGCCCAGCCACATGCGGCTGTGCCACTGATCAACGCCAGGAGGGCAGAATTTATCAGTGCCCCCCCTGCCAGACCCACAGAGGTTGCCTCTGGTCTGCAGCTCACATTCATGATCTCTAATAGTAATACTTAGCTTTGGACACATGAGGTGCCCTAGAGTGACTGTGACAACCCAGTCAGATGGGTTGAGTACAAATAAATTATTATTATTATTATTATTATTATTATTATTATTATTATCATCTTCATCATCACCCATCTTATTGCTGTGGTTGTAAGTTGTTTTGAACTGCTGTTAATATTGTGCTTTAATTGTTGTAACCCATCCTGGGATCTTAGGCCGGAGGGTGGATAATTAACAACCACCACCACCAAATAAACAGAAAGGCAGTTTTCTGCCACACAGTTCCCTGTCATCACTTTTAGCTTTAAATGTCAGAATTCTATCCCCCCCCCCCCAAATGCACCACTGCAGAACCTGACCCTGCTAGATCACCTGTTCCTTTCTTTCCAAGGGTACTTGGAACTATGCCTGAAATGTCTTTCTTCCCACCCCTCTTCTGCGTAGCTTCCCTGCCTTGCCAAAGGGATTTCGCCATCGTTCTAGCTGAACTCCCACCACCACCGCCCCTCTCCTTACAGCCGCCTTCCGCTTTCTCCGTTGCTGCCTGCAGCTCTAAAGCACTCAGTTGTAGCCAACAGCCTCAATAAATCTTAAGCAGCAGAGAGCAAATGACAAGGACATGGAGGCATCAGAGCCTGCGGCATGAAACAAAACAGGCTGGGGGCTGGAGAAAGAGTCCTCTAGCGGCCTACGAAGGGGTTATTCACCCAGGAGAAGAAGAAGCCAAGGCTGTATTCTGGAGTCGGCAGGGGCAGCAAAACAGTACCTGCTCAGAGGTGGCACTCAGCTTCCAATCTCCCAGTACCCAGCTTTGGCCCTATAAAAGGAAGCAACTCTTACAGCAGCCTGGGGGGCTGAGTGAGGCCTTACTGCCAACAAACCGAGGAGATGCTGTTTCAGTACCTGTGAAGCTAGAGATGTCCCTGTCTCAGCCGAGGGTCTCGCCGCATTCTCAGACGAGCTTCCAGCCCCCATTGGCCAGCTGCAAGCACAGTCCCTGTTTCTCTTCCTGCCTCCACTGCCCGGCTGAGATAGTCTGCTGACCCCAGCATGTCACTGACAGGCACAGGTGCTCCCAGGCCCAGCCAGCCTGGTCATGCATCCACCCCAGCCAGCTCCTCCTCCAGGGCTAGTGTCAGGATTCAAGACATTGCTGGAGCTCCGACACAACAGAGAGGGAGAGCTGCCAGAGAAGCACAGAATCCTGTGCTCTGCTTGGATCAGAGCCTCCACCACAAGAGGTTGCCGTTGATATGTGTGGAGGGGAGAGTTGAGAATTACAGTGGTACTTCGGGTTACAGACGCTTCAGGTTACATACGCTTCAGGTTACAGACTCCACTAACCCAGATATAGTACCTCAGGTTAAGAACTTTGCTTCAGGATGAGAACAGAAATCGCGCAGCAGCAGGAGGCCCCATTAGCTAAAGTGGTGCTTCAGGTTAAGAACAGTTTCAGGTTAAGAATGGACCTCCAGAAGAAATTAAGTTCTTAACCTGAGGTCGGAAGGTTGGCAGTTCGAATCCCCACGACGAGGTGAGCTCCCGTTGCCCAGTCCCTGCTCCTGCCAACCTAGCAGTTCGAAAGCAAGTCGAAATAGATAAATAGGTACCGCTCCGGCGGGAAGGTAAACGGCGTTTCCATGCGCTGCTCTGGTTTGCCAGAAGCGGCTTAGTCATGCTGGCCACATGACCCAGAAGCTGTACGCCGGCTCCCTTGGCCAAAAAAACAAGATGAGCGCCACAACCCCAGAGTTGGCCACGACTGGACCTAATGGTCAGGGGTCCCTTTACCTTTACCACTGTAATGGGAATATGTGTGAAAACCACACAAGCAATTCAGGATGGATGTTCATTGTCCTGTTGTCCTACAAGCAAATCAGAACAAATGCTCCATTAAGACAGGGCATAGGGTGCCAAAATGAATAAAGGGGGGGGGCAGGTAAGCCCTGCCCTGTATAATCAATCCCAAGATGTGATGCACGAACACGCAATGCCCATCAAATTTGGGGGATAACTGGCCTCCTCAAATATTTTATTGGGGAGTGAAGGGGCCTCAGCCCCTAGGAGTTGGCTCCTATACCTTTGTGTAAGCTTTGTCCAAGCAAATCAGGATGATTGTTCAATAAAGAGGTCATTTGGATGATCCCAGTGTTAACTGGTGCATGAGACACAAAACTCCCATTATAGTACCAACTTGCTGGCACCTGGTTTCTTGGAACAATTGAAAGTGCTGTCTCCGATGTTTAAATGGCCTGGTTATTAGGTCTTTATTCATCTCTGTTTTGTTTTGCTGCAGGTAGGGGTGGCTTGTTGTGTTATTTTGCTCTTTATCCATTTTGCTCTTATGCCAACTTGCCAATTTGGATGGGAAAGTGGGATATAAAAGTGGGAAAGAGGCCCTACCTGGTCAGGTGGGGGCAAGTGGCCAGAGCATGCTAAGCCCTTGTGTCTTCCTTCCCAAAGGTCAAAGAGTGCCGGGAGATCAGAGGGTGTGCAGTAATGAAGGTGTCTTGACAGACAGGGCAGATGGGCCAACTGGCTCTGAGCCCAGCCCAGACAGGCCTTTCATAATCCCCCTGATCCCCAGAAAGGTGGCTCTGTAGTCTTTGGACTTCATTCCTGCCAGGCTCTGGGGTCCTTCAAATGACCTCTTTATCCAGCACCTATCCAAAAGCTTACCTGGGGGTTACATGCTTGCACAAAGCTTTCATGTCCTGCCTTAACTAAGCATTCTTTCTGATGTGTTTAGATGACAATGAGCATTCATCCTGATTTGCTTGTGGGGTGTCATTTGTCCATTTGTTCACCCCACACTTTTCAATGCATTTCCCTGTCCCTTTCCAAATCTCAGAAAACCAATGTCGTCGTTGTTTTAAGAGGATTTGCTGCACTAGAGTGACAAAACACTTTAATCCACTTTCATTGCACAAACCTACGTTTGAATCCCTCCTGCAAAATACTGACAGTCCCAAGGCACCTGCTGCAGTGATTCCAGGGACCTCAGGAAGGTGGGTGGTGGAGTTCAGGGGCATAATTCATGCATTCATTCAGTTAGAATGGATTGAAGCTCAGGGCAGCCTGAGATGAGCAAGTCTCATGGAGCAAAGACATAGGGACCAACTGGAGCCTGATTGAGATGAGAGTCCCATTTGCCTCTGGAAGAAGGAAAGGTGCCCCCATCCAAGAGAAAGGGGATTTTGTGTGTGTGTTACCCCTCTCACACTCCAGGATCTTTGCGAACCCAAGACCAGGTTTGCATTCCACCTTTGGCCTATGGGACTGGCAAGGCTTCCCTAGCAGAGCAGCAAAGCCAGACCGTGGATCAACATCAATAATGGGGTTGAACTGCAGGGCAGAGAGGGTGCTGTGCCGTCAGGAGGATTGCAGATAAGTCAGGCGACATTCTCCCCTTTGAGTGACCCCCCCTCCACAATGCTGCCAGTGTGACACTAGAGGGCGCTGTACTTCTTCCTTGTGAAAAGTAAGATGCTCATTAAAGAGCCCTTAAGGAAAGGTGGCAATGGAGGATCTAACCATAGTGAGCCATATTCTCATCTGAATCACCATCATCAATCCACCCTTTATCACTGTGCACAGATCTCTTGAATATTCCGTGGAACTTGCTCATCATCCTCTCTCCCTTTCTCCGGAACACCCCCTTCAACGGTCGATCACATTATACTCTGGATACGCCAAAACATTAGTATTATACTACAGCAGGAACCAAGCTCATAAACCCTTGGCCTCCCCTGATTTTGTAGATTCCCTCATTCAAATGAAGAGGGGGAAGCAATTTCTTTCTCCCACAGGAAGTGAACATAAGAACACAGGAAAAGCCCATCTGGTCCAGCGTCCCCTTTCCCAATGTGATGCCCAAGGGAAGCCCATCAGGAGAGCATGACTGCAAGAGCCCTCCTCTCCTGCCTGTGATTCCCTGGCAGCAACAGGTATTAAGAAGCATGGTACCTCTGATCCTGGAGACATTGCATAGCTAGATGTCCTGGGTTCCAGACAGGATAGGAGTCTATTGCAACTTTGATGGAGGTCAGCTCTCTTTCTATAACGCAAGCTCAAAGCAGTTGTACACCTTCAAAACAAAATTCACCCAGCCACTACTACCAGGTTTCATGGTTTGGTGTGGTGGTCTCACCTTGACAACAGGACTGCAGGTGCCAAGTGCCGTGAAAACGCTGCAGAAGAGCGAAAATGGATTAAGCGGTTCAGTCAGCAGCCTAACCAATGTTGCCCAGTGATATTTTCACTTCATGTAAACTGCTTTTTCTTCAAAGAGCTTTTGAGCAATGCTTTAATGTGTTCCTGCTACTTCTGAGGCCTAAGCACCACTAGTGGGGCTGAACCAAAATGTTAGCAGGAGTGTACTGTGAATCTGCAGTGTAATAGGAAAATAGACTGATCTTTTTTAAAAAAGAGAATTGGGTATTTGAGGCTGTAGCTATCTACTACTGTTAGTCTAAGTTTGACTACTTGTCTTACGGATTCTTGACTAGCAGCAGTTATGGATAGTCCTATCCTCTGTTCATTTGCCTAATCCCCTTTTAAAAGCTGTCTTCATCCCTAGAGGCTGGCACCCTACGACATGGGTCATCTCATTCAGCTACAAAGCTGGAATTAAAAACATAACAAGCTTTTTTTCTGGGTGCATGAAGGAGGGAGAGCCAGATTTGGGAAAGGGGAGTGCAGAGAAGACCCCTATCCCCATTGCAAGCTAAGGCTGCAGCATGGGGGGGTGGAGAAGGGTTGGCAGGAAGCAGCGCCAGAGGGAAGCAGTCGAGTTTGGCCATGCTGTTCACAGTCAGTAACATTAATTGGTATCTTGTGGCTGGCTGAGCTGCAGGCACATGTGGTGTCTTTGCTGAAGCTCTCTGAGGAGACAGTAATTGCAGCAGCGACTCTCTCGGCCCGGCTGGGTTTTTGACAGACAGGGAGCAGATCGGCACTAATGAGGCTGGGGAGGAGTACCTCAGGCACAGCACCCTATGATAGGGAGGGAGAGGACAGGAAAACATACCTGGTGCCAGGAGGACACATCTCCTAGTGGGGAGATACCCCCATGCAGTTAGCTGCACATCAGACAGAAATTCAGCAAGTGCTGGATTTCCCCACATGGAAATACAGATAAGGCTTCACCTGTTGAATTCCGCTGGTAAAAAAAACACAGAATACCAGGATACCTGCTAGGAAAGCAAATGAGAACCCTTAGGTGGAGACTATATAGGAACACCCAGCTCCTTCCCTTTTCCACAAACCAGTTGAACCACTATGTTAGTGCAAAAAATGACTTAAAATCTCCATAAGACCCATCCCTCAACTGGACCAATCTGACCCAGTCCTTTCCCAAACCGTATTTGTCAAACATTTTTTAAATAAATAAAAAAAAAACCACCTTGCAATGAAGGAGTCTCCCAGTTGGCTCAATGCTTGCAGTCTCCTTTAAAGTAGGTCCCTCCTCCACTGTTTCTCCAAAACTCCTTCCCTTTACTCCCAGGCTCGGTGTCCTTCAAATTATCATCCAGCTCAAAGCAGCCTCTGATTTATTTGAAAGCAGTTTTTGTGCTGTCCGCTTCCCATCATTTTCTCTTTAGTGATCTGGCCCAATTCTTTGGGCTTACCTCATAGGTCTTGCATTCCAACCCAATCATCTTCCCAACTTGGTTTCCTCTGAACTCTTTCCAGATTGTCAGCATCCTTATTAAAGGGAGGATCTCAATTCCCCAGCTCAGAGCCTGAGGGATGCTGAGTGGGGTGGAATAACAAGATCTTATATTTTAATACAGTGTTCCCACTAAAGCAACATAGCATGCCATTTGCTGTTTTGTTGAAGTATCTCTGTTCTGTTTGCTCTCTCTCTCTCTGTGTGTGTGTGTGTGTGTGTGTGTGTGTGTAGATAACAAGTGTTAGCCACTCTTCACCCAGGATTTATTTATTTATCAATCAATCAATCAATCAATCAATCAATCAATCACATTTACATCTCACCAAGGAGTTCAAAGCATACATGGTTCTCTTCTTC